ATTAGGAAAAAAAGCATTCCAGTAGCAAAGAATACTGTAAGGGTACTGGTAGTGCACTAAGGGGCCAGTAGCAATACACCACTGCAGATTTTCTTTCTGTTTGCTCACTCTTTTGGGAGCACAAAACATATAATCCTGTATTTACAGAATATTTATAATATTTCTGTATTAGATGATATGCTACTGAGAGATGAAAACAGCTGTGGAAGACAACCAACAATAATAAAAAGAACCTCTTTCAATGCCTGTTCTCCTAATCTGCCTCCACAGAGCCATCAGTGCTGGTTAGCAACAGTAAAGTCACCTGTGGGAAGCACAGGTATTGACACAAAACAGGCCCCTGTATCCAAAGACAGCTGAGACTTACTGGGACTTGCCATTCTTCAAGATGTTGTTCAGAATCATCTACTAGTCATCACCTACAACTAGTGTCCATTCAGAGAACGTAAGTAAAATTTAAAATACAAATGCTCAAGTCCTGGTCTAATATACTGCACATTTTCCTGATCCACAAAATTCTCATTACCTCTTCCTCCTCATGGTGCTGGATGAGCTCTTGGGGAGAAAGATTATAGAGGTTACACAATTTGGACTTCACCATGATTGGAATATACCCTACAGGCTGTTTAATAGTCCCTTGTGGAATGCCATTCAGTGACCAGCTGATGTCAACCTAAAATGATACAACACAAACAGTGAGCAAACTGAGCTGACCTTTTTCATTCCTGTTATAATAACTGTACATTTAACGTGACCACCAATCTGTCCAACCAACTGCCATCACCGTAAAGTGGTAATAATCACAATAAAAAGCTTAACTAGTAGATACCTGGGCAACATGTTCTGGAAAACAGTCGGCATATATCTACAGTTCTAGACTTGTATGATTTCCTTTTAAGTAAAGAAGCTGACAGCAAGATGTACATGTACAAAGTTGACAGTGTAAAATACATAGCAAAGAGTCCCGATTTCATAGGCAGAATGGTAAGCCTTAAAAGAGCCACAGTCAGGAAAAAGGTCTTGGCATTATTGCTGGATTAACACCTGGCAACATCTTAGGAATTAAGGAGGTTTCTGTTCTAATTCCTAAACATCTGCTGCCCAACTCTAAATCCACACAGTGACACAGCTGTACACTGAAACCTCTACATAATTCTGTCTTCAGCTTGAATGATGCCCAACGGTATAAAATGGCTTCTGTGCAACACGCCACTCACAAGACACAGCACTCACCTTGGAGAGCTGAGAACCTCGGAGATAATTTGATTGTGCTGTTAAAAGCATATGGTGAAAACGGGCTGATGACACACTGCTTCCCACCGTGCAAGGGCAGGGAGTGGGAAAGAACAGGAAAGGCTTCCACACATCAGGCACAATAAAATGCTTTGTTCCAAGTGTCAAATGTTTACATAGGTTGAGAAACAATTGAAAAAATACAGTTAGGGAGGGAAGGGAGCAACACAGGTAGGAGAAATTAAAGAATGAATGCACCTCTGGTTCAGGAAAATCCAAGAGCCAGTGGGAAAACAGTGCACAATCTACATCTGGCCAACTTTTATGTCTGGACATTTTACTTGCAGTCAGACTCATTGCTGCAAGTTGTATAAAGCTGGAACTGCAAGCAAGAGTCCTTGTGCAGGATGCATGCAGCATGGATGTGGCTACGTGGTGACAATGGGAAGAAACCGTGCAAAGGAGAACGCCTGCCAGGGATGCTTCTTTAGTGGAATTCCTGAGCAATACAGAGAACTAGTGAGCAGACAGTACGACCAGGAGGAACTTATGACTTTGGTTGCAGAGCCATGCTGCCTTCGGACTTAGATTTCTGCAGGAAAAAGTAGAGACTTGAATTCTAATGGCCTGTGGGATGAAGGAGGCTTCCTTGCAGACCTCCTGCAGAGGCTGACTGGGTTCAACACCCGCCTGAGAGCAGAAGGAACACAACCGATGCCTTGCGAGGGGGGAAACAGAAATAAGAACAGAGGAGACAAAGCTCAACGCAACGAAAAGCTTTTGCTGTCAGCTCGTCCTGCAGAACACCCACGGCAGGACACAGCTCTCAGAAACGCTTCTCAAGCAGGCGAAGCTCGGAAGGGCGAAGAAGCCGCGGCTGAGGTGAGCCAACAAGCCGCGAGCGGAGGAGCTCACCGTGAGCCGCCCGCGGTAGGTGCTGCGCAGCCCCCGGCACTCGGCCGGGAAGACCTTCACCTCCTGGCACAGCGTCCCCTTGGGCACCACGGGCGGCGAGATGGCGATCCCCACCACGGTGAGCGCCACGCGGCCGTCCTTCAGCGCCAGCTCCACCGGCGGGATGTCCTGCAAGAGACGGGCGCCCACGCGTGAGGGCGAGCTCCGGAGCGCGATCCCCGGAGGCCGCTGCCCGCCCGCCCCCCGGCACCTGCAGGGCGCGGTACACCCCCTCGCTGATGGCGTAGTTGAAGGACTCGATGTGGGCGGCGGGCAGGTCGCGCCGTACCCCGCCGCGGGGCCGCTGCCGCCGTCGCAAGCGGTGCGGCTCCCGAGACGCGCCGTCCTCCGTGGCCGCCGCCATGCTGCCCTCCGTGCGCCTGCTCCGCTCCGCTCCGCCCCGCCGCGCCGCCCGCCGGGACGCTGCGGGGCGGGACGGCCGCGTGCCGCGTGCTTCCCGCCCGCGGCCGCCTCAGCCATCGCTTCGCTCAGCGCCTCCAGTATAGCAGCTCTCCGTGCCGTGTACCTCAGTGCTCGTGCCTCCGTGCAGCCCTGCCCCTCACAGCAGAGCATCCCCCTGCACCACGTCCAACCGTGCCGCGTTCCTCGGCACCCGTGCCCCTCAGCGCCTACGTCCCCTCGGGCCACGTCCTTCACTGCCTGCATCCCTCGGTGCCCAAGTCCCCTGCCAGCGTGCCAGAAGCCTGCGCTCCCTCGCGGCCCCACGTTGGCGGCACGCACACAGATAAGCCAGAGGTGCTTATCTCTAAGGAGCAGGCCTGCAGCCCCTGCCTGCGCCAACACCGCTATCAGGCCTCCAAATCACCCCCCAAAATCACCCCAGTATTTGACACTCGGCCCTCTTGCATCGCTTTTATCTTGCTCTTGTGACAAACCACCGCCACGGGGCTTGATGTGCTCCTTGGGCTGCAACGGTGCCCCTTCAGGGGATCTGCCACCCACCGTCCCAAAGAAATGCCACAACCAGGGAGATTTGCTCATTTTAATGATGCTTGAGGACAGACATGGACACAGCGGCTGGAAAAGGATGAGCTGGGAGCCCCGCCAGCTGTACACGTGCATGCTGACGTGCAGGCGGCCAGCAGGGAGACCCAGAGCCATAGCAGGAGCATCCCACACACCCCTGGCATCAGCTGCTCTCAAAGCTGCAGCTCTCTGCAGTAGCTGACACTGGGAATGAGACACCAGCATTAACTCATGTATGGCGCTGCACAGCTCCCTTAGGGAGAGCTGAGTGCAGAGAACACTAAATGCTAGGATGGGGGACGTGCAAGCAGTCCTAAAGGGCACTGATGACAACAGGGCACAGCAGCCAGGTGAAGCAGCATATAAGACCTCCACAGACTTCTCCGGTGTTTTTCATGGCCTTCAGTAGGAGCACAGGAGCTGCTGCTGCCACACGGGAGTTTGCAGAAACCCAGGGTCCAGATAGCCCAGACCCTGCTCATCAACAGCCAGAACACCTGGATCCTACATCCTTCATGGCTGACATTGAACAAAGACTAGAGACATCCCCCATATGGTGGGTATCTTCTTGAAACCCAGCACCATCCTTTGCAAAAGCTTAGGAAAGAGACTAAAACCTATTCTATTGACCTTTTAGCTGAAATGAGCTAGACAACATTTGTTTTTGCATTTTTCTAAAAAGAAAACAACCCAAAGTTTCCAAAGAGTTTGTGAGCATTGTTTGCAAGGCGCACCCACAGCTTCAGTGCCCAGGCCTCAGCCACACGCATGTCCTCTCCTGCTTGGTTGCTTGGTTAATATATTGGACAAGAGCTCAGGCACTGTGCTGTCTGTCCTCTATCATTTTCCACCTGTGCTTTACCTCGTAAGCATGTTGAGGGCAGGTGGTAAAGAGTCATAGGCAGTACCTGCTGTTTTCCTCCAGCAGCTGTTGCTTATTTTTAAGAATTCAGCAAAGACAGCAATGATCAAAGTGTCCCTGAATCACCAGCTCCCCGAAACCCAGCTGAAATACAGATTATAAGCAGCTGCATCACCTGTAGTCCTGGCTTTACCGCTGAACAGAAGCCCTACTTTTAAGGGTGCAGCAGAAACAGCCAGGTGGTAACGTACCACAGTGCAATCCCAGATGAAAACAGGGGAAGAAAAGGCCTTAAGAGTTGGGCAGATGTTCCTGAGTCTCCTGGCTGTCCGCTGCTCCCTTGAAGGACGCTGCACCTTCCTGCACCCCAGCTGCTTTTCTGGCATATGTCACTCCATCAGCATGGATCTGTACACTAAGAAAGGGAGAAATTCAATTTTCGCATTTCCCTTTTGAGAAGAAAATAAATATGGCTGGAGTGTTTTTCATTTCTTTATAACAGGGAACATTTTATTTTCTCACTCTGCACACTGAATAGCTCTAGGGCTTGAGACCGTTCAGTGTCCCGTCACCTCACATACATCCTGGACAAGGGTGACTGCTATCAAAACCTCTCTTTGCTGGAGAATAAGTTGTATTGTTAAGCTCACATTAGCTTAAGCTAATTTTAAGCTAACATGAAAATGCCAATGGAGACATGGTGAACATGGTGCTTACAGGAAGAGCAGGGTTAGTCTCTTCTCACTGGTGACAAGATACGGGGAAACGGCTTTAAGTTGCGCCAGGATAAGCTTAGGTTGGATATCAGGAAAAACTTCTTTGCAGAAAGGGTTGTTAAGCACTGGAATAGGCTCCTCAAAGAGGTGGTCGAGTCACCATCCCTGGATATATTTAAAAACTGTTTGGATCTGGTGCTCAGGGACATGATTTAGCATATGGTTTTTAGAGTTAGGGTAGTATGGTTAGGTTGCGGTTGGACTTGATGATCTTTAAGGTCTTTTCCAACCTGAGCAATTCTATGACTCCATGATTCTATGAACAGGTAGCTTTGCCTGTTAACCATTATAGCCTGTTTACCATGGAATGCTACCACCATGCTTTGCCTGGTTTGCATGGAAATTTTGACACCTCATATGCTACAATAAGATTAAAAAAACCCAACCAGTTCTTTTCCCATATCTTCTCTCTCCCATTCTACGACTCACTACTTCCCCACTGCCTCCTGACTCATAAGCCAAAGAGTTCACAGTGACCCTTCAGCATACACACAAGTTCCAAAGCCAGAGACCAGACCTGGCACTTGGGAGTCCTGTTCAGAAACAAAGCCACCTTGTAACAGTTGCGGCCCAGGCTCCTTTGCACACAGCACAGAGGAATACAGTAAAGCTGCTCTCTTGTAGCTACTGCTCCTGGTTGCTTCTCAGATCAGCCCACCTCGTGTCTGCCACACACTGGGCAGATACTGATGCATGCAGCACTCAGAGCATTTACAACTTCAGAGGTGTTTGCGCGGCCTCCTGGAATGCTTCCTTTCTGCAGTGCTTCTGCTGGGTCTTGCCAAGTGCTCTGTTCTCTTCTGGATTTAAGCATCCTGGTGTGAAATGGCGCCATGCATGGATCCACAGCATTTTGCAATGGATGTCTGTGCCATTACAGTACAATCAAAATGCCTTACTCCAACGAGGCCGGTACACTTCAGTTCTGCCAACAGAAAGGTGGCAGGACAGTCTGTTTGCAGAGCCTTTAGCTGGCACAAAGACCCTTTGACATTACAGTCATGAGCAGAGACAAATACATCACAACATCAGGATCTTGTGAGAGGCAGAAATCCCACTCTTTGATTTACATCCCATTACACACAGGCAGCTAGAGGACTGTATCCACCATGATCTCCTCATTTGTTTATTTTGGGTAACAGGAATCAGTTTATTTCTGTGTCAACTATCTCTCCCTGCCAGAGGCAGCAGAACACAGTCCTGACCTCAGCAGCACACTCTGCTCTCCTGCTGCAATCAATTCAAACCCCCAGAGCTGCAGTTTTCCATGACGGTTTCCTACGCAGCGTGTGGGGATCTCAATCAGATAATCCATGTCCTTCCCTCCTCACCGGGAATCAGTTCTGTGCTGCTTGAGCAGGCACTTGTTTGCAATCTGCCCTGAAGCATGCTTTCAAACATGTAACCTCAGAGCTAACATACATCCACGCATCGTGTGCAACATGGAAAGAAACTCCTAACCCAGGACCACCAGCGTGCAGCACCCTGTGAGCACGCTCAGTTCTTCGCAGACACTGCTACAGTCTCTTGAACAGTGAGATCTAATTGTTGAATTTTGACTCTTCATATGAAAATCCGGGGTACAGCACAGAAAGATATCACTCACACAGCCAGCTGCTGTTAGAAATGCAGCTGTGCTCCACAGAGAACATTAAGCTTAGGAAGGGTTTGCTGGGCCTATGCTAAAAATTCAGATAAGCTTCACAGAATGGGTAGTATGCCAAGGACTTAGGGTATACTCAGAGTACGTTAGCTCTGAAATTCAGGATCCTCAAGGAATTTAACTTCCCCACAAGAATATCATCCTGTCCCAGCTGTGTGGCAAACCTATACACAAATATCTCCTGGTCTGCAATATCTCACCTGTCTTCCCCTTAGCTGGGACTGAGCTGTAGACTGTAGTAGTAAATTGTCAAATAGAAGAGAACCAAATTAATTGGATTAAAAATGATAAAAATCATTCGAGTTGAGAGGTTTCAGATTCCAGCCTCAAGGGCATAAAGGTGAAAGCTGAGAGAAGAGCCTAAATTCACATTAGAGTCTCAGAAGAAGCTGAGAAGATTGGCTTCCAGCTATTTGAAACACTCCTAGCACAGAAGTGATGCTAGAAATCCTATGGCCTGCAGGTGAGCCCCAAGGGAAAGTCTCTCCGCCTGTTTTAAACAGACCAACGGCATCAGACTTGGATGGAAACTGATCAAATCTCATTAGGAAGAGGGATAACTATAATAAACAAACTGCCTTCCCTGCTTGGGTTAATTCACTGCCTGCAGTTCAGCACCCTTTCCAACAGCATCCTTGCCAGTCATTGCTTGGGTGTTCAGCCAGCCAGCTTTGAAAGTACCCAAGGACACTGAATTCTTGGTGTTCCTAGTGTTATGCATCCTGTGATGCAAGACGGCTTGTTCCTTTCTACAGGATAGAGCAGGAACAAAGGAAAGGAGTAACCTATTTGGAGCTGAGCTAAGGCACTAATGATGCAGTAGGTGAGGAAAGAAGAAAGATAGTGGAAGGAGGAAAACTTTCCAACCATGACGTCCCAGAAGATCACTGTACTTTTCACTCAACTGCCTTAAAAAAAAAAAAAAAAAAAAAAACCATGTTATCTCTATAGAAAAGGAGGAGCTAATACAGTATTATAGTATCCCTGTTGGGGTTTCATCTTAAGGTTATTTTGCTATACTCCCAGAGATTTGTTTCAGGTAACAAAGTCACATGAGCTGTTTTCTAAAGTAGATTTTGGTGAATGCAGGCAGAGTTGTCTCAGCAGCTCTGGATCATCGCAGCTTTAGGTAGATGCCTGTTTTGTTGTTTTTCTCCATGACTTTCCAGAAAAAAAGAGAAGCCTGTCCCTATCACTTTTTGGCATAATACTGAGATAAGCCATTAAACAGTGCTGACCCAATGGGTGCAGTCCCTCCTTGTGCACAGCAGATGTACTCCTGTAATCATCACAGTTTGATAAAGATCGATGTTGGCTGGCTTGCCTTCTGTCCAGTGTCAGCAAGGGGGAAAACGCTAGAGATGGCTACATCCACAATTCCTTGGCAGAGTTCTGCATATAGCTTCCTAAGAGACGAGAGAGAGACAGAGTAAGATGCCCAAACAGAGCAAACCAGCAGGTCTTCCAACTTCTTTTCATATAGGCATGCATTTTCCCAAAGGGAGCTACAAGATCCTGCTGCTGTCACAGGTGGCCCCAGGGAGGCTAGTGGTGGATCAGGCATTTCTTGATATCCTCCCCTCCTATTTCAGAAACTATCTTCTTTTTTAATGATGCTCCCATTCCCAACATTGCTCTCTGCAGCTTGGGACCACAAAACCTGTTATCTGAGTTTACTGTCAGAACAACAGACATTACAGTTGCTCAGCAGTGTCTCTCACCTTCAGGACTTTCACCACTAGATGCATGGGGGAAGACAACTGCTGAGAACACCCCAAGCAGTCTCCCAGCTCAGGGAGTCATAACAATCATGACCCCGTGCAAGTGGAGGTGTGCCCCAGAGAGACTTCACTGATGTACGTATGACTTGAAATTCTGCAATGATGTGCAATTGTGCACAGTAACTTGTAAGCTAGGCACAGAGATTTCACAGGACCACCCCTTGGAAGAGTTTCATAACGGCAAGGCTCATACAAAGCAGGATTAGGCAGAAGAGAGACACTGTGTTTGAGGAATTGAGTTATCAGCAGCTTCATTTTCTGCTGAAGGGAATACCTGTGTAACCTCACAGAACAAGTATGGGACACCGAGCACTAAAGCTGTCTTTACTAGAATTAACAAAGTCACTCTATGAGCTGGAGCTTCATGACCATAAGACACTTTTTCAGCTTCTGGGCATGTTGCTGCTTTCAGCAGCCTATTTTTGTCTCTTAAGTGTGAATTGTGAGGTTTGGTCCTATAAATTAGAATAGCCCTGAAAAGGAAAAGCCACCAATAGACAAAACTTAGCTCATCTGCTTCTCAAGGCTTCCAAGTGCCATACATAGGTACAAAACAACCAGAGCATTGTTGAAACCCAAACCTATGCAGCAGAAGCCAAATTCTACCCACACCAGCAAAAAGGAGGTACCAAGCAGAATTGTACCATGGTATACATGATGAACAAGACATGCTGGACAACAAAAGCCCCCCAAGGCCTAGCACTGAAAAGGCTTCTGTCTGGGCTGCCTGGTAAGCTGACCCCTTATTTCTTCTCTAGTATTAGCAATGATTTGCTCTAATTTATATCTAATATATTATGTGCGTCAATCTATAACATATATAAATATTATGTTATCATAATATGTACAGCATATATAATAGTCATACATATATAGAAATAATTTTAAAAATATAATAATGCAGACAATGTAGAACAGCCTGTTATGCTGGGTCTGTATATGATATTACTGCCTATTTAGGCAACAATTCCTGGTCTTCCACAGTTGTCTCAATCACATAAAACAGCACTTCTTACTGTGCCTATGCAGAGATGGTCATGGGTTCATGGGTTTGTGGCCACAGCTCTCAGCTGTGGCTAGTAGGGCATTTGAGCCAACATTTGAGGCATCCACAGAGTGCTCTGGAGTCCCAGTGCCTGCAAATTCAGTCACCTGCTTCCAGCTGCTACCTTTAAAGCTACTCATTATTCTGTGCTCATGTGAAGAGCAGCCACGACTGTCTCTACAAGAATGAGAAACCACCTGAGGTCTAAGGCATTAATTCTGCAACATACCCCGTGGTGTCAATAAAAACAACCCAAGTTATATTCAGATCCAGTTGTTCAGAAAATGAGATTTAAGGACAAAAGAAGCTGGGAGAGGCCAAGCACAGAGGCAGCAGCAGCAATTAACTTAAACTGACTGGTACTTAGATCAATATCTCATATGGATTTGCCTGGGAAAGGCCCCCACCATTCACTTTCTTCCACCTTTTTTGTTTGGAGCTGGTACGCAGCCATGTTTTGAGCAAGTTATGTGAACAGTGGCATCACAGATGTATTACAGAAACTGGATACTTACTGGGCACAAGCTGGAGCCCCATTGACTTCTATGAGCCAGACTTTTAACTCCTCATCAACCATGAAGTCAAAGCCAAAGAGCTGGAAGCTCTGGTAGTGAAGATGCTTTGTGCTGATTGCAGGCTCTATACACATAAGGCAGCTTCTGTGAGGGGAAAAGCACAAACAAGGTTAAAAGCCCTGCAGAGACAGTCTGCGCTGCAGTTTCTGAGGGCGAGTGCACAGTGCAGTGAAGTGGATGGGTCAGTTGCTGCCTTCTGGAACGGAAGGCAGAGCCACAAAGGATGGTACAATGCCCCCAGGGAACTGACACTTGGAGCTCATTTGCCACTGAAACCCTCAAAGTTATGTCTCTTTGGCTTAAGTAATAGCAATGGAGTATTTGCAAAGGAAATTCTGCCATGGAGGACCACTTTTTCAAGACCCAATTTCTCTCCAGCACCATTATCTCTCCAGACAATTTCCTCAGTGCCAGGAAGCAGCTGATAGAGCTAGCTTAGCTCTGCCTGGAATTAATAAGACAAATTGCCCTGCAACAAGGCACGCTGCTTGCTGACAGCAGGGGAGCACTGAGATCCTGCAGATTTGATTCCTACTTCATTTCCACTCGTATGCGCTATGCCTTCTTTCACCTCAACCTCTTCTAGACCTATCCTCTTCCCTCAGAAAGTCATCTCACTCCCTAAAAAGCTGTAGCCAGCAAAATGCACACATCTTGGTACACTGCCTGTAGAGAACAGCACCTGTATAGTCCCTTATCTACTTTACCATTGAGCAATGACATTGGGATCCTTCTGGCTTTAATCTTTAAACTATCTCTGAGCCACAACCCCTGATCCAAGCAAATGAAACTCCTCCCTTATCTGCCTGCCTTCTCAGCTGTGTTCACACACACACTCTGTCACTCAAGGGTTATGTATCCCTGTACAATAGATAGCTGGTTACCTTATTATGTGTTTGATTTGCAGTAAGATGCTATTCTCCAGCGTTGTGTTCAGTGCATCCATCAGATACTGGTTGAACTCTTCAAAGAACATTTCATTCCCTTCCTCATACCGCCCATAATTTTTGGAATATTCCTTCTGAATGCAGTGATTGGTCAGGTGGCAGGTTTTGTCCTGGAAATTAGCACTGTTATATGGTTCGGAAGAGGTCCGCAGGACACCCTCTCTGTAGAGGTAGATATTATAAAGATGATCTACGAGAACCCAGCTCCTAGGGAAAAAGAGAACAAACTCACATCCCACTGGCTTAACAGGAAACAGCACAAACCAGTATTACGGAAGCCAAAAAAGCAACCAAGTTACCTGATATCAAACTTGCGATGCCCTGGCTCCAAAAGAAGAGGCTTCTCCAGGTATTTCTGAATCACGTGCACTTGTCCCTGCTCATCAATGAAATCCAGGAGCTCTGAAGCCTCTGAAGAAATCAAGATCCCTTCCCCTGGCACAGAAAGGAAAAGAAAAAAAATTGGTAAAGATCATTGCTGGAGCTCTTTCCAGGCCCAAGTGGGCCATAGCTCATTCCCATGACAAACCAAGCAATATGAAAGAACTAACAACTTCAGAGCTAACTGCCACCTGAGCAATTGTTACATTTGCATAAAGTCAGGTGGCAGACTGGCAGAGCTATATCCCTCTTCCCTCAGCACAGGGAATTTGGTTTCTTCACAGCTGGAGCACAGCTGGGAACCACAGGTTCCAGAGATAACATGGGGCTTTTTGGCAGGCAGATGGCTATTTTAGATGCAAGTGGATGCACAGCAGAGAGAGACCTTGGCAAGAAGTGAGGCAGCTGCTTTGTTTGGGGGATTTTGTTTCCCTTTCTGGCACATTTTTTCCATCTGGTCTTGGTAGGGAGGAACATTTAGCAAGCATTTTTTAATTCTGTTTTGCTTTTCTCTGTTTTTCAGCAGTTTGTAAAGCAGGGTTTTGGCAGTTTGTGAGGTTTTTATTTATTCTGTTTCTTTGGGAAGGGAGGTTTGTTTTTATCCTAGACTCAGACTTTCTTCCCCTGCCCAGCTTTTCTGTTTGCCAGAGGCAGTCACACATGCATGCATGTGCAAACTGTGTTCCCCTGCTCACTGAGTCCATTTAAGTTCCTGCTGAAACCACTGTTGAATTAGGAACAGAACTGTTTCAAAATGCTCATTCACGTAATCAGTGTTTTCCCCTGCCATGGAAACTATTCATTAAAAAATTTAGATGCATCTTTTAAATACTATCACACATTGGCTGAAGCTGTCACTGTTCATTTCTTGCAAGTCTAGCAACGAATCCACTCAAAAAAGCTCAAACAAAAATTATCTAACAATTCTCAGCTGGAAATGCTTCATTAAAATACTTTTTTTTTTTTCCTTTTTTTTTTTTCGGGGGGTTGGGGAGAGGGGGGTGCAGGGGGAAGAGAAGAAGGAAGTTTTTTAGTTCCTTGATTACAACAGAGCCAAGCAGACACTTACAGTGGTACAATCACAGGGCTAAGCACTGGGGGAAAGGAGGAAAACAACATCCCTTTAAGATAGTAAGCCCCTGCAGCAGGAAAATCAGCAAGTATTTGTTCCATGCTGGACAGATGGTGAACTGAGGGAGTGGTTAGCTTAACTGTGCACCTAGTCAGCAATCCAGTGAGACAGAAAAGCAGCTTATGTGAGGGCCACTGTCTCTGTTCTCAAAGACAACACAAAAATCTCTCAACTATTAAGTTAGGGCATCCTAAACCTTTAGTCCTCCTATTACTGATGGACAATCAAGTTTCTCCTAAAACTCCCTGGACTCAGGAGCTGTGCCTTAACTGAGTCTGCCTGGGCAATTAATACTGACAAGCTTTCTTCTTCATCAGAAGTAATCCCCAGACATTTAGACCTGCTCTCTAGAAGATTAACATCAGGTTTGCTGGTGTAGGGATCCTGCTTTGGCAGGGGGGTTGGACTCGATGATCTCTGGAGGTCCCTTCCAACCCCTACGATTCTGTGATTCTGTGATTCTGCTCACCACATTAATTCCCATCTTGAATTCTGCAGCACAGTGATGAATACAAAAAGTTACCTTAAGGTAGAAAAGAAGGTGAGATTACATTTGAATAAAATATGTGGGGAGTTTAAATCTCTCCATGCTGCAGCAAACAACAGCCACTTTTTTCAGTTTTTCAGATTGTTTCTTTGCCAGTGACACTAAACAGACACACTTCCTATCAGCAGTGTGATAAAAGGACTCATTTCCCCTTTCCTCCTCATTGAAAATACAGTCTTCTGATGCTTTGCAGTAACACAGCCATGAAAGCAGAACACCGAGGAAAGCTTGCATGAAAGAGAGTTATATCCTGCAGCCACCCACCTCTAGCTTTCACATTGCCTAATGATTTTTGTAAAGCCGCATCAGAAGAGACTCTGCAAATGAGTAGTACATGTGGCCTTGCTACCTTTGAATGGAATGAGTTCTTCGCACACAGCAAAGCAAGTTTCCATAAAGCAATTCTGACAGCACGCCAGCGACACTGCTATGATTGGTAGATAGGATAATTACCAAAGCATTACATTCATAGCTGTGTCCAGCTATCTCATCTAGCTCATAATTTCTGGAAGGAGGGATATGTTATAATTTAAGTATCTGTATGTTATCTATTATGTATCTTATTCAAATTAAGGAAAGTACAGATATTGCACTGCTTGCCTTTGCTCTGCCTTTGTCACAGTTTGGATATAATTTGGATACACCGAGCTCATTGACTCTCACTCTCAGTGTGACCATGAGTGGGCCATTAGCACCAGGTATTTGACTTGGCTGGAAGACAAATGATGGTATTTCTACTCAGCTGAAATCAGGCTTAGATGCAACAGGATGATGTTTCCTGCAGTCATAGACAAATACTGACCTGTTTGATGCCCCACCTCTTATATCTCATTCTGCTCCCTCATCTCCTATAGCCCATTCCCTTGGCCTGCTGCTCCCTAGTGCCTTCCCCCTGCAGCAAACCTTCTTATATTCTGAGGTGTATGAGTAGAAAAAAGGGGGTCCTTTCACTGTCATCCATGTCCACCAATCACGTGCATATTACAATTCACATAATGATCTCCATGTCACTAAACAGTAGTCAAAGCCCTTCACAGACAGGCTTGGGCTCAACCAAACCCTGGAACTCAACTAGAAGGAATACTGAGAACCTGGGTCATTTTGTTGGAGAACGAACCTTTGGCACCAGCTGAGGACTTGGCAATCCACACATTGCCTTCTCTGCCTTCCCGACGCCTGCTGTAAGCTGCCAAGAAGACCTCCCTCTCATCTGTCCTCGTGTTGTTTATGAGATGGTGAATTCCATTCTGTGCCGGAGCCACGGGGGTCTTCAAGTTTGTTGGGTAAATCACATATGACTCGGGAAACCACGTACAAGACTCTGATAGCTCAGGGCTTGTCTTGATTAGCCTAGATGAAGAGATACAGGCTGATAATTTCCAAATTGTTAATCTCCAGAGTGACCTGTGAGGACATCATTTAATAAGTACAAATCTCCACTAACTGGGCTCTTTTGCTTGGTGACGAATAGTATCTTACAGACAATCTGGATTCAGCTATTGCGTTCTCTTTCTACTTTTGAAATTAGGGTATTACTATACAGATTAAGGCAACTCAAAACTGCAGCTCTTTGAATAAGACCTACACACTTCTGTTAAATATTTTCTAGATACTATGGATGTCATGAAACAACCAGTAGAGGAGAAACTACTCTAATTAGAGCTTGCAGTGACCCCTCTGCACCATCTCTGCACAAGGCCACTGAGGAGGCACGATTACTAAATACACAACAGGGCAGGAAGGAAGCTGTTATAACAGCAAAGAAGAAGAGCCAGAGCAGTAATGCTGGGCTTTTGATCGCATTCCCACTGAGATCATATCAGACACCCTAACTGTGACAGAAGGCCACTGGGAATGCACTGAAGGCAAGGATACAGCTACATACTTTATTTTCTGAGGTGCCCAGGATACCCTCTGCATGCAGCCTCCGTTCCCTCTAGTAGATACTTTCTCCTACCAGTTATATCAAGAGATGCCAGCAAACTCCTATCAGTGGCACTCAGGTTTGTTATCCTTCAGAGTCCAGGAGGCTGCCTGCCTCTTTGAATGCTTGCTGTGTTTTGCTGAAGGCCAAAAGCAGAGCTAATTACGTACTGACTCTCTCCACATATTCGTGCCTGTCTGTTGAAATAGCAGTCAAGCAGTGACACCCTCAGATCCCACTGTCAGAGGAATGTCATTTCTGGTCCCTTGGGTTCATAAACGTCTTGATGCGTGGCTGACTCTAGAGCTCAAAAGGTCAGCCAAGCTTCAGGAGAGAAAAAAAAGGAGCAGCATTTTGATCCTTGTCCAGATCCTTGGTAGCACAGAAATCCAGCTGGGGAGTGCACCAAATGCTTGTTTAAAATATACACTTAGTGCCTAACACAGTCACCACTGCACAGAAAGCTGCTGGAACTAGGTTCTCTGCAGAGGAAGGAAAGGCCTCAGAGCAGCATGCAGTCTGCAGAACTGCATCAGCAAGAGGCAGGACAGACACTAACACGGAATGAGATTCTTGGAGGAGGCCAAGAGTTCTGACACGAAGAGGCCCTAATGGTTTGCAGGGGGGACTAGGGTTATCTGCAATGAAAGCTCACCGTCATTTCCCCAGGAGACTGTGGCGTGGCTGGTCGTGCAGAAATAACTCCCAGAGCCAGCTCTTCCTGGAGATGTCTCCAGACATTTGCTTGACCAACAAATATGATTAGCTAAAGGCATATTACTGCCTCCTCTCTGTATGAATCAGAATAAAAGGAGTAGGTTTTAATCAAGTAGCTACAAGGAGAAAGAGCAGATATGGTTTGTTGTTTTTTTTTTTTTTTTCCTTTGATTTGGCTCTAATCTGCAGCTCCCTGTCTGCCTGATTCAATATACTCTATTTTTCAAGCAGATGTAATTCAGTGGAAATGCCATTTCCTCTGAAGTTACAAGGAGGTCATTGTGCACAGATATCTGCGTAGATCAACACAGAAATCTGAAGACAGCACGTGCTAGGACATTCCCAGGGCAACTGTTCTGTGAAATACCCTAAGAACAGGTTGAGCTGTTGACAACAGCTAGCAGAAATATTTATACCAACCCCATGCAACTATTCAGTAAATTTCTTACTTCACCAGGGATGCTTTGCGACACAGCTTGTCTGCTCCCCTGTAATAATTCACCAACTGCACAAGTCCAGGTTCGTGGCCTACAAGGAAAAATAGAAGGATCAGACAAACTTTAATTATTGGAGGAAAAAATACCTGCTTGGTGCAAGGAATCCATGCAGCAGGGAAGAAAACCAGGCTGTTTCCTCACCCCATGTCAAAGAAACAGGAACTGAGCTGATACTGGCTCTGCTATTTTCTTTCCTTCAGGGAAGAAGGCCTATGTACTTACAAAGTCTGCTTTGAACATGTCATTGCCATTTTCCAAAGGAAAATAACCATTTCCTAATTTATACTGGGAACTGGCAGAGCCACCCAAAAACATTCTCCATTTGCTCGTGGCATTTTTTAAGAGCCAAGATTTCACTCAATCTTAAGTGCAGTAGGAAGATGAACTACATCACAGCACAAATATCACAGCTTAGAAAATGGCCATGGGGTTTTTGCTTTTCTTTTGTCATTTTTAGCAGGATTCCCTTTTAGCCCAGTTAAAAGGCTGAAAAATGTTAAAAGATTTAGCCTCACTGCTCATACTGGGCTTCACACCACAGCCTGCCTGTCCTCACCTTTGCACACAGTGCAGACACCTGTGCTCTATTAGGAGCTCTCTGCTGCGACAGACCAGAGGGTAACACAGATCTGGGCAGCAACACAGCCTGCCCCACACAGCCATCAATGTGCAACAGGTGAACAATGCCTGAAGCAATACCTGGGACCCTCTGACAACAACCAACAAGAACATGAATAGGGAAAATCTGACAGGAAACCACTCTGGTCTGAAACACGACCTTGAAGGAAACTCCCAGGCATGCCATTATTTGCATTTTTGCCTTCTCATTCCAAACAAATGCCTGTGGGTGTGATTTAAGCCCTGAGCAGTATGCAGAGTTTTAGTTACCCTCCTTGGAGGTTGCCTGAAAAAAAAAAAAAAAAAGAAAAAAAAGAAAAAAAAAAAAGGCCCAGAGAAAATATTAACTCAAAAACCAGGCATCTGCAAGATCACAGACAGTCAACATCTACTTCAATTAAAAACCAAACCAAAACAAAACTATGGCCCTGGCATGGGTCACTATTTTATTCACAGATCCTTAAATGCGACAAAGCTAAAACCCATCTTCTGGCAAAAAATCCGTGATTTCAGGTACTTTAAGATGCAGCCAGCACTGCCACACACTGATTTACTGAAAGAAATTAGCAAAAACTCTCAAGATTTCCTTCTGTTTTCAGTTTATTTATTTTGCTTGCTTCCTACAGGAACTGAGGTCCCAAAGGTGACCTCACTATTCCAAGTGGACTCACTGCTTAAGGGCATGGTCAGCCCAAGAAGTAGGAAATCAGCGAATACAATTGGTGTGCTTGCAGCCAGCCAGAGGCTCCAGCTGAGTTCCCACCTTCATCTCTCTCCCAGGATGCACAGCCTTACAGCTTACTGAAATGACGTCTGTTTCAAGCCTTCAGAAAAACCAAATCAGCTTGCACGCAACAGCTGCTCAGAGGGACAGCCTGAGGAATATATACCAAAGATGGTTCTACAGCTTTTTGGAATACATACCAAAACTATGGGGGTTTTTTGTCTGAATCTGCTGATTTCAGGCAACCAGCTCCTGCTATAGATGGGTTGAAGAAAGCAGTACCAAAGTTTAGTCCCCCTCTAACAGTTATTGCTGCATCTTGGCTGCAAGAAAGGTTTAAATTTTCAGGCCTTCCATTGCAACACATACTGAAGAGCTTGCTGAAGCCCTTCCATCATCCCAGGGCTCTTGTCCACAATGGAAAGGTTTGTTAAAGAGACTGAAATGCACAGCTGGACATGCTGTGCAGGTCACATCAGAGGACCATGCTGGGTCTGTGACAAAGTCTGATGATCAAAGGCACATCTTCACACCAAGCACATTAGGGTACAGCTTCACTTGCTGTGGCTGGTTGCAGCAGTGTGAACATCATCACTGCTTTAGCCTCCCCTATGCTTGCTGCAAACAGCTTTGTGCTGGGAAGCAACCAGATGGCATTTGCCATAGGATGTGGGGACTTTCCAGTTGCAAACTCATGTGGAAACAAGGGGACAGGTGCTGGAACTGGTGAACTGCAGATCTGAAAGAGCAGAGCTGATTGAATGGTGCTGCGTTTGAATTACATGAAAGGGGCTGGAAAAACAGTCTTACCCTCAGGTTGATGGGGTGAGGGGATTTCTCCTAGTCCAGTGCTTCTGCAGCCTGAAGCAGTGCTGCAAAATCACTGGAAACTGTGGTAATGAGATTGAAGGAGGCCAGGAGGGTCCTGCCAGATGTCTGATGCAGAAACAGGGGACCACAGAAGGGAAAAACTGTGCTGTGCTTAGCAGCATGCTGATCCTAAACCGGCTTCAGCACTCCTGGGGACAGGAGCCAGCATGGGGCCAGAACAGCAGCTGGCACTCTGCACGGACAGCTGCCAGCCCTGCGGCTCCAGCCAGCTTGCCACCAGCCACGGGCAATGACACTGCATCTCTGCTTCTTACCCCACCCCACACTGCTGCCAGTGCCTCGCATGGCTCTTCCTCCTTGTGGGCTGAGCACGGCCCTTTCTCTCCCCGCTTCCAGGCTCTTCCCTGTCCAGCAGAGCACTGGCAAGCACTGTGTGGAGCAGGCAAGGGACAAGTCTGTACAGGGAGGCTCTCAGGTCTTGTTCAGCCACGACCACTCATGCTGGCAGGGGAGACAAGAAGGGTGGAAGGCTTGGCTTACAGACACATAGCCTTTCACCCTGCCCCAGAACAAGTACCAGATGTGCTGTCACAATCTGAACAGCAAAAAAGTCCTCAAGAGCATTGCTGCAGGATATGGCAGGCTCAAAGGGGATCCTGAAACCAGTGCCCCCAACATGCAAGAGCCAAATAAAGACAATGACCTGCTGTCAGGTGAGCGTCCTGTGTGCCAGCATCCCAGCCCCTCCACCCTGCAGCCTCAGGCTGGGCATTTTGAGGGACTGCAGAGACATCCTCAAGGCACTTGGGGAAGGTGATACTTCGAGTCCAGCAGAAGGGCGGCGGTCCCCAGCCAGGATTGCCCAACCTCAGGTTGTGAGGCTGCTGGAGAAACCTCCTTCCAGGGCTGGGAAGCGCTGCACGGAGCCCACCGGCCTCAGCCCTTTGTTCTGAGCGACGCCGGTTGCGGGGGTCCCTGCGCCAAGGAGCCCGGCAGACGCCCGGGGGTCAGCATGACTAGTTAGAGGTGATGTGGAGCAGCAGGCCACAGGGGACCTGGGGGACGAGAGGCCGTGACACGCCGTGGGGGCTGCGCCCTGACGCGGGGTCCCCCTCCCAGAACCAGGGCCCGCTCGGGCCGAGGGGAGCGGCACCACGCCTAGCCGGGTCCCCGGGGGAAGAACCGAGAGACACCCGGCGACGAAAGGCGCCGCCACGGCTCTCCCTTACCCAGCCTGCCGAAGGGGAGCCGGTTCCTCTCGCCCAGCATCAGGTTGAAGCGGGGGTTGTCCTTCCTCAGGCGCTTCCACTGCCCGGTGGCCAGGAGGAGCCGGGAGACCTCCGCGTAGACGCTGCTGTTCTCGTCCCGCACCACGAAGGTGTACATGGCGGCGGGGCGACCGGCCCCGAGCCTACCCCCGGGGGCCCGACGGGTGCCCCAGGCCCATGGGGCCCCGCCGCAGCCTAGGCAGGGCCGCCCTCCTCCTCCGCCGCCGCCCTCGCCGCCTCCCGGCCGAGCTCCGCATGGCCGGGGCCGCCCGCCCCTGCGCGCCGCCCGCCCCGCACCGCGCCACGCCGCAGGGCTGAGCTCATCGCGGGGAGGGACCGCGAGGCGCCGGCGGCCGCGGGGCGGGGAGGCCCCGGCTCGGGCCTACCCCGGGGTGGGGGGAGGGTGGGCCCGCCCCGGCGCGGCACGCCCTCGCCCCGCCTCCCTCGGAGCGACCCGGAAGCGGAGCCGTGGAAGATGACGTCAGGGAGAGACGTAACGCGGCCCCGCTTCCAGGCGACGCCGCGGAGGGCGGGAAGCGCCCCCTTCGGCACCGGGTCCCGCGCTGCGGGCTGAGGGAGGGCGCGGGAGGGGCGTGGGGGGATCGGAGGGAAAGGGCGAAAGCTTAATGAGCGTCTTCGTTTTCTGCCTCCTGCACGCTCTGCAGCCAAGCGCAGTCATCTTATTTCACCGGTCCTGGGCTCGGGGAGTTTCTTAGCGTCTCTTAGCAAAGCCGGCAGGAAGGAGAGCGGCTCCCGGTTTGGTCAGCGCCCCGTTTTTCCTCGCGGACGCTGTAGGAAAAACCCCATCGGGTACGGCGTGCTCTCGTTGGTTGCTGGAAATCACGACGCCTTTCCAGCAAATGGAGAGCATTTTCCTGCAGATAGTCCGATTAGTAAACGCACGCTTCTGTCAAAGTGCACGGCCCCTCGCTGTAGAAGCACCCCGGTGTCTCTCCATCACCTGTTTGCTGTGTCCTGAAAAGGTCCCACAGAAGCGGCCGAGGCCGCTGTGTTTGCTCGGCGCAGAGCAGAGGAGCTGAGGGAGGCCTCGTGGCGGCTGCAGCTCCTCACAGAGAACCGCTCTTTTTTCAGTCAGCCTCGTGCTGATTCCGAGGAGCCCGCTTTCCTTCTGTTACCTGAAAGCAGAAATGTGGCGAACGAAATTTTGCTGTGCGGCGTATTTCTACCAGGAGGCGCTCTTGGACCTAGGATCTGATGGGTTGCCTCATCTGCTTCCACAGCCGTCTTTGTGCGCGCTAGAGACCTGGGCATTGCTTACCTGGGACTCAGACGCTGAGGCCACGCTCTCTCCTAGTTTAGAGAATTACTCTTCGCCCAGGATTCCAGGTTTATTAACAGCTGGTGCCTCATCTCTGTGATCTGCAGAAGTGCAAGATGCCGAGGCATTCCCAAAATCTAAGAGTGATGTGCTAGACCAATAAGCAGAATGAAGTCCAGTGCTGAATTAGTCAGCACTACATTCACGAGTTCCTTTAACTATATGCACTAGATATCTATTATCTGCAAAAAATACATATCTTTTTGTATTTGGGGCAAATGCTTGCAGTTATCCCATTCTCAATGAAATCACTGCATTTACTTTTTGCAAGCTTTGAGTCTTCATGTGGAAAATCTCCAGACTACTTCCACATTCAATAAATATTTGTAGCTACAGTTTATGGTTCACCCATCCAGCTAGATTTATTTAAGAAGATTCGTTTTTGTACAATTCACGCTCAGTGGTTTTTATTGCTCTTTTACATTTCTTGTGGTTTGTCAGCCAATGGGCTGTAGTTTCTGGAAGGCTGTGCAGTGATCTGAAAGGTGCTGCTGGTCCAACAAGAGTGGAAGAGTCAAACTTAGAGTCCTTTTATTTCCAGATCCTGTTAGTCCTGAGCACTTTTGGTCCTGGCCACACTACAGAGCAGGGTTGGTTCCCTCCAGCTGGTTTTATGATCCACCTCCTTCCACATATGTCCTCAGCCCCACTTCCCTGCAGAGAGAGACCAGGAGGAGAGTCCATTGGCAGGCCAGATTACGGCTCAGTGTTGCAGTCCTTCACAGTGTCTCTGGCTGTTCCATGGAGTCCTTCACTTCGGAAGAGACTGTAATGGCAAGCCCTCAGGAGCGCTGGTTTGTAGCAGTCCTTTCACTCTGGAAGAAAGAATCTATCATGGAGTCATAGAATCAAGGTTGGAAAAGACCTCTAAGATCATCATGTTCAATCACCATCCCACCTTCATCATTCCCATTAACTATGTCCCTCAGTGCCACATCTCACCACTCAGCTCCTACTGATACAAGCCAGGATACTGTTGGCCTTCTTGGCCACCTGCGCACACTGCTGGCTCATGTTCAGCCAGCAGGCAGCTGACACCCCCAGATTCTTTTTGGGCTGGTGGATAGAAGAGCAAAGGGCCTAGCAGTCCCAATCCCTGCTGGAGTGTCACTTGATCTGCTGCTGCCCATGGATACGGAATTACAATGTCAGATGGGACATTTCCCTGCCTCTTTTGGCAGACTCTTTGTGCAAGACAGGATGGAGCTTACTCACTGTGTCTTCTCGATGTCCTCAATGCCCTCAGGCAGGCGCACATTGAGTGTCTCTGGGAGCAAGAAGGCCACCGAGCCACAGAACACTGCTACACCACAGTACGTCACCTCAGGCAGAGACCTCCACACATCATCCAGCAGGAACACAAGTGGGGCCAAAGACCCACCGAGGCGTGCCATGAAGGAGGTGTATCCCATTCCATTCTGCCTGAAAAGGTAGGAGACTGTGGTAGTGTAGAATACCCCAAGAAAAACATGGGTACTTCTTTCATATCAGACCTTGCAAAAAATAAAAAAATAAAAAATGGAGTCCCTCTTCCCTCTCCTATTTTTGGGGGGATCAAGAGATTTCACATCACTAGCTGAGAAAATCTTGGGATTTCTCACCCCTAGATTTTTCCCCTACTGGGCTTTTTCCACCTTTTTTTTTTTTTTTCCTCTCTATCTTCATATAATGACAATACTTCCCAAATATCTACCCTGAAGATGTTTTCTCTTTGAAAGTCTAAAATTGAGTGTATTTTCTACACATCCCTGTAGTAAGTCCTCTTATCTTCTGAGATTAATTTAGGTTCCTGCTTTCCCTAGTGGTTCTAGGCAGATGCCAAGCACTAGAGATTCCTGTGAGCACCTTTGGTCATTCTGTAGTTAGGAAAGTCTGGAGATGTGGCCAAAAATAGGACCTGGGATCTATTCCACTTAATGATTTTCAGGGGGTGAATGGCATTTCATGCATAAAAAAGGGATCCCAGGCCTCTCTGTGATTTTACGTCATTATTAACTGATATTTCAAATGAACTGTCTTTTTTCTCCTAAAAGGTACTTAATCCCTGCTTTAATATCATCTGATGTCCAGAGGGCTATCAATCTTGTGTGGTAGTATGCGTCCCACAGAATACTCCTCACCATTCAACACATTCCCCTACCCACATACCCCAGGTCAGCAAATAATAGCTTTCTGCCCATTTCTTGTGGGTGGATGTAATCCTCAGAACCTGCTACTTCTAGAGGCAAGGGATCAGTCCTGCAGTCTAGCCAAGAGCACCTCCTGCTGTGTCAGTGTCCAAGATCAGATGGTGACATCCCACTACGGATCTGGTGGTGCCCTCAGGCAGGAGTGTCTCTTACCTCAGGACGGTGGGGTAGAGCTCAGAGGTATACAAGTAGACAGTGGTGAATGCAGCTTCTGAGGAACCTTTGCCCATAATGGCTATCACAGAGCGTAGAGAAGTGAAAGCTGAGGGGAAAGAAAAGACATTTATGACAATAGTCAAAGAAAAATGTGAAGAAGTTTCTTGTGGTTACTGGTGCTAGAAGGCTCCAAGAGACAGAGCTGGAAGCTTCAGAGCCCTGTAGCTGCTGCATCCAAGGTCTGAAACAGTCTGAATCAGTTTAAAAATTTGGTGACTGCTATTTTGAGTGGAAGCTGAACGGATGGAAGGCTAAGTCCCAATATTTCCCATTGGAAAATATCTATAATAAGATGGGCACTTCCCCTTGTTATCACTGGCCTTGTAGTGCTTCACAGTGACTAGAGAACATCTGCTGCCTCCAAATAGTAGGGCTGGCCCACATCAGCAGCCTTGTCCCACTAATGCCCTTGCAGGTAGAAGATGTCTCTATATAGAGCAAGATCTATGTTTCTCCTTCTCTAGCACAGCACAGGATAGATACCTCCCCTTTAGCATACAGCAGAAGAGCATCTCACGTTTAGGAATGATGATATTGGCTCCTATACATAGTCCAGTCAGGATGAGTGACCACGCCTGGCTGTGCCGCCGTCCAATTCGATTCACCAGCACGTACATGAGTATCTTGGCTGGAATCTCAATGATGCCAAAGACAAACTGAGATAAATACATGTTGAGCCCAAAGCCAGTTAGGTTCATACTCATGCCGTAATAAGAGAAGGCAACACCAAACCTGCAAGGAACGTATGGAGATTGAAATAGGGGAAAATCAGCTGGGCAATGCAGGATGAATCCGTTGTGTAAAGTAACACTGCTTACCACACTGTGCCAGAACACAGAGAGATCTTCCGCAGAACTGGTGTCCTGAACAAGGTGATGTAGGAGAAACTCTCTCTTGGCTTTTTCTCTGTAGTCATTCCTCTAAGAGCCTGGGAGATGTGAGAAGAAGGAAGGAGCTCAGCTGCTGTACATTTAGCATCCAGACATGAGATCCTAGACAGACTGGGGTCTGTTGCCTTTCCTAATTTCATCAACCCATTCAGTTTCCCATATATTCCTATCGCAGAACAATTTGCTGGGCATTCGTTATGAGAGACCTGTCTTCCTACATCATTTAATAGATTATCTAACGTTTTAGAGCTCTTTTTTCATCCATGACCCCTTTTCCTCTCTTACTCACATATCCCACGTGGCAGAAAGAGTCCTAGCAAAGTCAGCACTGGCCAGTTCCAACTCCTTATTTTTCCAATCTGTACTTCTTTCACTGCATACTCAGTCCAGTGTCCAGTGTCCGGTGCAATGAGGCGTCTTGCCATGACAGTGATGAATGGAAAGACTCCCCACCTACTAAAGTTCTCTTTAGCAGTGAACATAAATGCTTTATAGAGCAAAATGGCCTAAGACATCCTATAGACCATAGTGCCCCACAGATCACACTGCAGGCTGAGCATCACTTCAGATATAAAGTAGAAGTAGAACAGAGAGAAAGAGAAAATGTGGGAGGAAGAATGTGTCTGGATCTTCAGTTTCTCACCTCTGGTGAGACAGTGAAGTCTTTCCTTCCATTCATTCTTGCACATCTAAGCAGATGCTTGTGAGCTTGTTTCACTTTGCCATTGGCTATGAGCCACCGGGCAGACTCTGGGACCCACCTGGTGCAAGGAGAGAAGACAGCATTCCTGTTGGCACCCCATATTTTCCACCCCATATACATGGCCTTGGCCAAAGACAGGGGATCTTCTCTATGAGACTTCAGCCTCTACTGAGAATAACAACTGTGGTGCATGAGATTAAGATAAGTAGGACACCCTCTTTACACATACATGCTATTCTACCCTTAAAGAACTTGTCTCTTAATGGAAATATGTCTAGCCAAAATTTTTATAATGTGATTTTTGATCAAAGCTTGAATTTTCTGAGCTGGTTTCAAGCTCTTAACAAATAAAATTGGCCCCAGAAAGTTTATATTTAGACACTAGATTTAGATTTATTCAGATGTATAGATTAATTTAGATTTATATTCATGATTTTTTAGATTCTTTAAATGCTGATATTTTAGAATATTAAAAATTACTATGTAGAAAGGATTTAGTGGACCCACTGAGAGTATACCTCTTACTTCCTTTGTTAATTCCTAAATTATTTGCTGTTCACAACAAGCAAAGCCTTCTGCAAAAGATAATCCACTGGAGTCTTAATCACTGTGGCTGTGGCCCCCAGTGAAGAAGCCATACTAGTCAGTGAGTGACAAGGGATGCTCTAATGCTGCATAGCTAATTAGCAACTTGAAGAGGTTTACTTAGCAGATGTACCTTGAGTGGGGGTCCTGTGACTCCTATTTTTCTATCTGTCACAGTAAAAGATCCACCACTTGTCATAAACTGGCATCTGTAACTCCTTGTTCCTGTCTGTGATCTTTCATCTGGTTGCAATTCATGTGAGCTACAAGGCACTATCAGCCCTGGATCTCCCCAGGCCACAGTGCAGCTCTGTTGGCCTGAGCACGTGTGGGGCTGCATAGTGGTCAGTATCCAGGAGACACTGGAAATGCCTCACAGTCACATCCATTCCAACTATATGCAAAAATTTCAATATAGCCCAACTGAAGTGCAGTTAGAAGCTTGAAGGAATATTTGGGTAAGAGATCAACTGAGCTCATGAGTTTGTCAAAATCTCTCACTGAGATCTCTCACTGAGTTCTTCCACTGAGTTCCCTGTAAGCTGTTGGTGACTTGTGTGCCCTAAGTCAAGTTGCTGTAAAATCAATGAACTATTCAACCTATTCAATCCAGAGCTGAAAAGGGTGTGTAGAGCAAAATCATTTGCAGAACTGAACTATGGAAAGTTTTCAACTCCTTCCCAGAATTTGTTAATACTTTGGCAAATATAAAGAATTAAAGGTGGCATTTTGCACTCCTTGCCATCATCTCCAGAGTATGTTATGTCTTTTGGCTGTCTAATGTCTCAGCTGAGTACAGGTATTGTGTCAACAATATATAATGAATATGTTAAATTAAATTTTGGTTCTATTCTTCAGGGACTTAATTATCTAACAATCACTGACCTCTTGTTTGCTTGAATTTTGATCAGACAGTGTAATTTTTTTGAGAACTCATTTCCATAAAAGGCATTAACAAACTAGAAAGAAATATAGCTATTTTTCAAAGGGTGGATCCAAATATATCAATGAATTTCAACATTTCCCAGGATTCAATTTCTGCACCTAGATGTCCTAGAAAAAGAGCAAAACCTCAAACCAGAAAGTCAGCAGAACATAAAATTTAATTGTCTTGAATTTGATCAGCAAAACATCAGATGTTACTTTCTGCCAAAACCATTCATCACTGTTGAAAGGATACGTCTACTTCTGAGCCACTGTTTAACAACAGCATCAGTATGCATCCCATTTTTCACGGATATGATCTGAGATTTTGTTAGTAGCTATTTGTTTGGTGCAGCTATTTCATCTGCTGCTTCATGCTGATGGACAGACATAGTAAGCAAGTAAACCATCACCTGTAGATGCCTCTCTAGGCAGCTGAAAGTCACATTTTCATTTTTATACCTTTTTTGCTTATCAGTTATGCATGTAATTTTGGGGTCTGCATGTATATCAGTCAGATTATTTTGTGTGGCTTCCAGCTATAGCTCCCCATTACCCTGGGAGATTTTTGCAGTGTGGGTCCAGATCCACACTGATGTCCAAGATGAACCAAACAATGACCCTGAGGTTGAAGAAGGCCAGGCCACCATTTCTGAAGGTTTTCAGAGTTGCTAGATCCAATTCCAGGATGAATACTGCAATATTTGCCATACACACGGGGCAGAAAGACAGATGGCATCCTGCTCCTGTTCCAGCAGCAGCAGGCCACAGGTTGCTGTACTCACCACAGGCAGACGATGCTCAGAAGACAAGGTCCCGTCACAGCAACCAAGAGCCAGTGCCATTCCCTCACCAGGTATGCTGTCAAGGCCAGCAGCATGTTCCCTACACTCCAGGAGATGCTGGTCAGGACCCCAGAGAAGGTGCGGTGCTCTGTGTCCACCCACTCCATCGCTGTAAGAGGGAGGCAGCGTTCAGCTGGGTCACACAGGGCTTCTCCAGGAGAGGGTCTACGGGTCTTTGTGAGAAGGGCAAAGTGAGGCAACATCCCTGGTCTTTTCCTCCTGGAGAGTTTCACTGACACTTGCCACTTATAAATGTTCATCCACAACTTAACTCCTCAAAAAGCTGAGAACAACTAAAATGAAGCTTTAAAGGAAGAAATTCTGGACATATACTAACAATGGTGCCAGAAACACCCTACATGACATGTTTTTATCTTGTTCAATAGCATCTAATAGTCATCTCCATCAAACTAATCTTTAATCTAACTCTCCAGTTGTATCTTGCCTTTCCAATTTCTCTGCCTATGCATTATTCCAGATTCAAGAAATATAACATTAATATAGTATACATAAATTAAGCTGAACTGCCTTAGTGGAACAGATATTAATGCACATGCAAATCCAGAACAAAGGGTGATCCCCTTACTTCTGTTTGAGAACTAAGTCAATTTGCCTCCAGAGATCTTGACATCATGCTACAGCATCTAGCAATCAGAAATGTCTTTCCCAATCTCTACTTTGTATTGTAGGCATCACCTTTAAAATAAGAATGTGCCATCGCAGGCCTTGGGACATGTAATATCTTGTGTGTATTTGTCCTTTCCTGAAGCATTTTTAGCTTGTTTTTGGGCATATCTGCAAAAATTCTGGAAATTTCTGCTGCACATGTAATGTGCTCTAAGGTATTGTGACTCTTGCCCAGGGCATCCTAAACATACCTCTAAAATCATCTGATGCTCTATTGGGTAGCTTGGAGTTTGGAGCTTGTTTTAATTATGTCATTACTTAAATTTCTTAGCTTCAAGTTTGCCTCACTTTGAAAGATTTTATTTTCGTGTTCTTTCCCTTTCCTGCCTTTCTAAGAATACAGATAAGGAATATGATGGAAACAATTGCTGCAAAATTAAGACTGGAGAGGAAGAAGCATGCCATGAATGACCCAACATCCTGCTCAACCGGTGAATTTCTTTAATTCCATGTGAAAAATGAGAACCCAATATCAGAGGAAAAGGGCAGATACTTTATCTATAGATTTTAAAGCATTAAGAACGGTGATTAACAGGAACTGCTGGCCAGAATCATAGAATCATAAAGGTTGGAAAAGACCTGTAAGATCATCATGTCCAACTGTCATTGCTCATCCCCACCACGCCCACTGATTGCATCCATCAGTGCCACATCTCTGCAGTTCCTGAACACCTCCAGGGATGGTGACTCCACCACCTCCCTGGCAGCCTGTGCCACTGCCCAACTGCTCTTTTGAAGAAGTAGGCACCCTGTACACCTACAGCCTCACTATACTTACCCAGAGGCAAGATGATCAGGGACACACCACTCAGGGCCACCCCAGTGAGGGTTCTTGTGATAGCCAGCATGCTGTAGGAGACGGAGCAGGCACTCAGCATCCCAAATATGACAGAGCACACAAGTGACAGCATGAGGATAGATTTCCGGCCGAACCTATTAAAGCACAGACAGGATTATTTACAGGCTGGAACTGTGTCCCAGGATAGGGTTTGAAATGAGGCAAAGCAGAGACTTAAGGAGGTTGGTACATAGTCTGCCCTGCAAAGACTATATGGTACCCCAGGGTGGAGGGATTTGCTGGATATTGCCAGTGCTGCAGAGATGTGATCCCATAAACAGGGTCAGAAAGCCCCATGAGCACTGGGCATGAGTCTCTCCAATGGAAAGAGAAGCACTAATAAAAAAGAATGATATACTGGGCTGCCCATTCAATGCCACCATGATAATAAGTGATGTCAGCTAGAACATGCATGCTGAGGTCGCTCCTCAAGGATTTTGGAAGTTGTATGACCTTATCCTTGGTGCAGAGTCCTGTGGGGAGAGTGTAGAGAAATATAGGAAGTCAAATACACGCAGATGTGCTTAGGCATTCACTCTCACACCAACAGTGTGCATATGTGGTTCTACACAAACTGTGGAAATGTAAAATTCGACATGGAGCATAAGGTTGGGATTTCAACGAAAATTTTGACAAACTATCCAAAAGCAGAGAGGACCTTTCTGCAAATATCAGCCCCACATGTGATGGTTTGAAACTGGCCTAGTAATTAAATCTGCCAACAGGTTGCATCCAGTCTATGGGAACTGATTCTAGCATTCTCCCAGTGGCCACCTGATAGGGCTGGTGGCAAGGACTTTTACACTAGGGGGTGAAATGATGTGTTGGGACATAGTGCCACCATAACATTCTTAAGAAGAGTCACAGGTAACTTCATGCAGCAGCTAGTTAACACATCTGCTGGAGAAGAATCAACTCGTGGTGATAGCCCAGGCAGTTTTCTGGATCTGCTGTGAAATTTAAACAGACCCCGACTGCAGAAGTGATGCACCTGAGTGAATGCAGCAAGCATCCAGAAACCCACCAGTGCTGGATCCCATTTCCAAAAGTATAAGTGCTAACAAAAATAAATTTTTGAAATTAAGATATGGTTCAAAAATACAGTAAAGAACATATCAAAATATAAAATTCCCTGCAGAGCACAAGGCTGCTATTTATGGACCCATTACTAGACTCTCACAGCAAATGCACACCACCTGCTAACGGAACCAGAGAGAAGCTGACAGGATTGAACTGCTACAAGGAGGCTGCCAGAAGTAATGCGGTTAAACTTGCCTTCAAAGAGAGAGAGAAATGGAAAAGCCCAACCTGTGAACGTTTATATGTGGAAAATATAATAAAAAGAGCAAACTGTGCAAGGATAAAAATGAATAAAAAAGCAATTTTCATAAATATCCCAATCTGGGAGTCTGCCAGAGCGTGATGCAGCCAATGAGGTACAATAACAAGGTACAGAAGGAGAATCTGGACAAGAACAGGTAATAACAGTATTTCATTTTTTTTTTTTCCCAGATTTCTATTCTTTTGCATAGACATGTTCTCAGTAAAGGGTTGGAGGGTTTGGTGGGGTAAGATTTGTCAGCAGAAGTGTTCTCAAGTGCAGGAGTCTGTGGATGCTTGGATCAGAATGAACCTGAGCTGTAGCAAAATGGCAGGACCAGATGTCTCTCAGCCTGAACCTCCAGAGGTGCAGTACGTGATTTACAATTTGCATGGGGGAGTGGGACCTCTTCTCTATTAGAGAAGAGAAAGGTTGATTTTACAGTGTCCTGAGGGAGATGTGGGAGCATGAATACGAGGTTTAACAGATCTAGTACTGATACTGATTAAGTGGGTAAAGGTAATGTTAAAAATTAGAATTCGTTGACACAGATAAGAAAATGCTGCAGGTATCAGCATGGCTTTTGTAAAGAAAATGCTCATTATCTCTTGAAGTTCACTGCAGGAGAAGTCAAATGTAGTGTGAAAGTTCTGATTGATTCAGAATGCTTGGATTTCCCAAAGCAGCCATAACCACTCTAAAACCAGAGTTCTTATAGAACCACTCTAAAACCAGAGATTCGTATAGAAACTAAGCTGTTACGGGAGAGGAGAGGAGGCCTTTGCATGGGTAAACGATACATTAATAGCCAGATGGCAGGAGTAAATGGTCACTTCTTGAGCTGAAAAGCCCCCTATGCATTTCTGGCTCTCCACTTTAAATGGGTACAGTTGGAGGAGGCTGAGATGCAAATGAAGCCAAAGAAATGTCATCTTGCAGATGAGGAAACCATGAAGAGCAGAGAGGTGGAATGATAGAAATGGGACTGAATATGCACTATAAAGTTCTGAGCACCCCCAAGAAGATGGAAGACCTATTGCCATATCTGCAGTTTTGGAGGCAACCAACACAATCTGCTTGATCCATTTGCTGTGGTTTACAGCATGGCGCAGAATGGCAGTGCAGTCAGGCTGCTGACGAAGGCACGACTGGCTGCCAAACCCCCTTTATCTGCCTCTTTAGCAGACTGAAGGTCCTGGTTTGTCTACTCAGCAGTCAATCCTTAACTTAGTCTTTTTTGTCATCACATTTTCTTCCCTTCTACTATAACCTTGGGGAGATTATAGTAGGTACAGGTGGGGAAGAGATTGAAGAGAAAACAAAACTGTACACGGTATTCAAGATGTGGGGCCATCACATATATACACGTTTCTGCATGGTTATGTTCACTTTAGTTTTATATTCCTTTCCTAACAATTCTGAATTATACATTTGCTTCCCCAGCTGCTACTCATCACTGAGAAGATAGAACTAGAGGGCCTCAAGTTGTGCCAGGAGAGGTTCAAGTTGGATATTAGGAAAAATTTCTTCTCCATAAGAGTGGTCAGGCACTGGCACAGACTGCCAGGGGAGGTGGTGGAGTCACTGTCCCTGGTGACGTTCAAGAATCATTTAGATGTTGTACTGAGGAACATGGTTTAGTAAGGAAATATTGGTGGTAGGTGTATGATTGGACTGGATGATCTCCTGGAGGTCTTTTCCAGTCTTGGTGATTCTAAGACTATAAGATATTTGTCAGGAGCTTTTTATTGTAACTTCTAAGTCTTATTCCTGAGCCGCTATGGACAGCTCTATTTTACATGTGATGTTGGATGCCTTTCTTTCTTTATTTTACATTAACCTACCCTGAAATTGTGTCTTTTAATGCTTCCACTCAGTCACTCTGTAGGATCCTTCGGTAGTTCTTCACACTCAGATTTTATTTCTACCAACCTGGTCACTCAGCACCCCCTCCCCACTCACTGCTTTTCCAGATCAGTTATGAATATGCTGAAGAGCACACATCCAATTAACAGATCCCCAGAGATGTCCTTTCATTGTAACAACCCAACACTTACCCCTCCCTCCTCCTTCCCCGCTTTTGATCAATTATTTAGCCATGCAGGGACATCCTGTCTTGCTCAGTTTCTTTTGAAGCCTTTTGTAAGGAAACATCTTACAGATGATATCTCCTCTGTTCACACACCTGTGAACATCTCCAAAGAAATCCAATCTGTTTGTAGGGTACGAATCTTATGCAAAAGAGAAATAGAAGTCCTATGGCCACTGGCTCAGCCATTCAAAACTGTTTCTACCAATTCACTCGTTAGAGCTGGATGCCAGGCTGCCTGGCTGGCAGTTGCCAAGGTCTTTCTTGGGGACCTGTATAAAAACTGATTTGAAACAGATACAAGAAAAGGTACAGAAGTGACTGGCAGCTTTGTATGGTGCACCTAGTTTCCCTTCTGCTGTGAAGTGATTTTGCAGCCTGCCTCACCCTAATGTTCCTTTGGTCCCAGAGAAAGGAAATCAGGAGGGAATCAAATAGTTTCCTGCACAGGAAACAGCCATTAAATATTGAAAAGTGTAGAGAGAACAGCACATCCTGATTGCATGCTTGCTCTGCATATTCAGTGGTAGGTTTCCTGGTTCAGCTATTTGCAAAAATATTTGATTTCTTAATTGATGCCCATTCTACGTTGTTACTCAGACTTTTTTTTTTCCCCATTACATTGTTACATTCTAACATTTAACCAGGGAGAAAAGATTTGCTCCTATTTTCCTTATCAAGCCATGGTCTTAGCTCTTCCTTGAGGAGTGCCTCCCTGCTTTACCCTGCTTCTCTAGTAATGACAGTTTTGCTTTCTTGAAACCTTTTTTAGGACTTGACATGTATTTGCTTTAAGCCCCTCACTTGTGTGTCCTTAGATAATTTCCAGATAGCTTGCCAGGATTTAACTCTCAGCTGCTTGTTTCAGCTTTGTTTTAATCATCTTTCTCCTTTTCAGGCAGTTATCTTTCCTGAAATGTCTTGCAGACAGTGGATGCAGCAATTCTGACCCCAGTGCTGCTGTCATTGTTGCAATGCACCTTATCCTCCCAATGGCCAGAGCAGCTTCTCACGTGGGCCCCTAACTGTCTGCCCCATGAAGCAATCCACAACTCTAACTCAGCATTTAGCCCTTGCATTGCTTCTCAATATGACTTCAATCCAGTTTGGATGTGGAAGAGTTCTCCCTTTACGACTGTGTTTTCTCCTTTTTCTAACCCTCTCATTGCTTTTGCAAGTCACATGTGTGTGAAGGCCTTGCCAGGAAACTGCAGCCTTGGTGGACAGCCTGAGAGGGTCAAACCTGTCCGAAAGGTATCCAAACACCACAGCCCCCATCGTGACGCCAATGAAGAAGAAGGTCGCGGTCGCCTGGTTCAGTCCACGCTGCTCACACACGAGATCCCACTGAAACACAAGGCCAAAGTGACACTGAATGCCCAGTTCAGCCTCTGTCCCCCTTCAAACCCCTTCCCAAGTTGAACCAGATGCAGTTTAGTTGGGATACCAGGAAAAATTTCTTCTCAGAGAGGGTGGTCAGGCATTGGAATGGACTGCCCAGGGCAGTGATGGGGTTAATCAAGAGACATGTGGATGTGGCACTGAGGGACATGATTCAGTGGTGGGACTGGGTAGGTCAGGGTGATATTTGGACTTAGTGATCTTCAGGTTCTTTTCCAACCTAAACAATTCTCTGATTCTTTGTGCTACAGTATTCCTTGTAGAATGCCATCTTGATATCCAGTTAGTGTTGCCCTCACCAATTTTCCTCCAAGTAGTCTGTGCAGGGAGAAAGGAAGGCAGAGGGGAGTCAGACTCACTCCTGATGCTAACTTACTTATTTCTATGGAGAGTGGTCTAGGCACTCTTCTTAATTAGTTAATTAGCATCATTTTTCTTCCTTGGAGGTGCAAATGTTGCTGATCATTAGAGAATGCTCTGACCAAGCTGCAGGGTTAATTTTTCATATGTGTGTAACTTGACAAAACTTAATTTAATCATCAACCCAGCCTTGCAGCCTCTCTGACAAGGCCAGCCAGACCTTGAACAACCTTTTTGGCTGCAAGACACAAAGACTCCACAGAAAGCCCATGGCCTCTTGAACACAGTCTGAAGCCACAGCACCCTGAGTGCAGTGTCATAAGGCTCTGAGTCCAGTGCCTCTGAAGCAGAGCATTTATCCTGCCTTTTTCTCTAGGGGTGCTTTACATCTTTCTCCCTGAAACAGTGTGGAAATCAGGTGCAAACCTGGCGCACTCCCAACATCCATCTCTGTGCTTGCCAAACCAGAGGTTGAGTGGTGGGGAGAAGACATTGGTTCTAGGATAAGACTTGTCTCAGTGAAAGCATGGCCAGCTGATGTTGTTTCTCAACCAACCATTTTCCTTTTGTCTGACCAAAGTGTTCCCTTCCCTAAGACCTACTGTGCTTTGGGCTGCCTTTCCAGGAGGAAAAGCTACAGCCTGCAGGTAAAGCATTAACACCCAGAGGTATGACTGTTAGCCCTAACGAAGCATTTCAGAAGGCTGGTGGATAATGTTTGACTGGCAGGGACCTTGGGAAGACTCAAGGTTATGGCTGACCAGAGTGCTGCACCTCACCAGGAGCCCTCCAAGAGTACATTTCGTGGGTGTGCTGCTGACAACTGGACTGATGGACTGCTAAATCTGGAATTGTCTTCTAGAAGGATAAAGTCACTGTGAGTCAACAGCTTTGCTGAGGTCTGCTTCCCATCAAGTCATGTAGTCAACAAATGTAAAACACCAAAGATATATTGAAGGGCAGGAATAGGACAAGCAGGGAAATTGAGAAAGGCTGCTTGATCTTGGGGAGAAGCAAGGGAACAGGAGACCAGAGAGGAGAGACAGACAAGGGAAGTAACAAAGTGCTTGGAAAATCAAGAAAGCCACAGAGTCAGATGACATTCTTACAGGGTGTGATCCTGTGCCAATGCCACATGGCCCAAGCAAAGAAAATCCCATAACAGTCTCCTCCCCACACCCCCAGTCTCTCAATCACCTGGAGGTACTCATGAGAAATGTTGGCATCTACCTCTGAGCTCAAGAGAACTTCCCCATCCCATGCCATCTTCTCTAAACAATTACTTTCCACTGGTTAAAATGCAAAGATTCCCCTTCAATCATGAACATTTCTTCATCTCCTCAAAACACTGAGCTATTTTCATTTTCAGCTAGATCACAGGCCAGGGGTTACCTCAGTGGAGATGGTGGAGGTGAACTGCGAGTGGTCGTAGACCCACCCATACTGGCAGTCCTGGGTGACGGAGTCGTTGTCTGGTTGCAGAGAGGAATTGAGAAGTAGGTGAAACTGAGGCTGTGAGAACATCTCACAAGACCTGAAGGTGCCATCGGGCTCCCGGGGGATGCTGATGAGCAGAATTTCCTCCGTGGTGAGGTTCACAAATTCTTCCTGATGAGGAATTGCACAATGATGAGGGGGGGTAGCAGCAAGAAAGTTGTGCAGTAGGAAATGCATGGGAAGGTTGATTCTTGGGAGGCATAGGATTAACAAAATCAAAATCTGAAATCTGCCAAAGCCACCAGTTTCCAGTAAGAGATCTTCAAATTTCATCTTTTCTATAGAGTTTGCTCATTCAGAGCAGCTATGTACCACGGAGCAGCAACATGAGCTTGAGAAGTGGTCTCTGTCCTTGGAGCTCAGCTTCCCATGGCTTTTCATACAGCCACTTCCTTGGACTTTGAGATCTCACAGCAAGGCTTTCAAAAGTCACAGTGAAACTCTCAACTTGGGGTAGAGCCAAGGAAATAATTCCAAGTCATTTCGCGTGCATACACATCTACTTCAAGTAGATCCAGCACAAAGCACCTTTTTTTTTAAAAAAAAAAAAAAAAAAGAGTCCTTTCCTCCTGTGGTGATTTTTGAGGAGGAGAGCCACATAGGGAAAGGGCTGCGGGAAGAGCACCATTGTTTCTGGTGTGGGGACATCACACTCTGCTTTCTCTCAGGCACAGCAACATGCTCTGTGTTGTGTGAGCTGATCACCAGCCTGCACAGCTGGACAGAAAACGGGCCCCCAGGAGTGCAGTGGTGCCCCCCAGCACGGAGGATGCCTGTGAGCACCAAAGCCTGTTTGCTGTGTATCAACTGTGTTCTTAGTATGGCTTGTCTCAAGTCATGACCTGGGAGCAAGAGGTATGCAGAGGACAGGGCACCCAGAAGAGATGAGAAATGTGTCTCTGAATGGAGACCAACTGGTTGGGGATCAATACAACAATGAGGGACCTACAGCCCTCAGCAGGGCCAGAGGTACTGCTGCCACTGCGGTTTCACATCACAGCTCTCCCAGCATCACCAGAAAGAGCTCCTGGAAGAGATGGGTCTTTAATTTGCATTTCTATTCATTGTGTGCTCTTAGCTAAGACCATGGGCTCTTCATTCAGCCAGAGCCACTACAGAACAAGAGCAAACCATGCATCTGAGAAGCTGAAAGTTAATTGGAGAAACCTGTCATCAACGGTCAGAGTTGACAAGGAGTATGTACCACATGTAACTTTATGAGTTGCATATTGCACAGCTGCTGGGCAAAAGCCTTGATGCAGCAAATGGGGAGGTGCAGCAACAGAGCTGGTGCAGCTTGGGTCACACAAACAGCGTGGTTCAAAGGACAATCCCTACTCCATGAGACCGGGACAAAGAAGTCTAGCAGCTCTAGGTACTTCAGGTCAGTCAGGAGCTGCCCACCCTTAGCACTTAGGACAGACAAAAGGCTCTGCACCACAAACAAGCAAGCTTAGAGAAGAAGCAATATCAAGGCTGGTTAAACTGGGAGCTGTGGGACTGGAGAGTTCTACCTTGTTTCCCCACAGTCCTCCCTCCTACAGCAATTCTGTGGTCTTGAATGTTCAGGGATGCTTATGCAGGCAGGCACCTGCCCTGAGGCCCTGAGTGGGCCAGAGAACAAAGGGCTTCAGAGCAGCAGGTGGAGATAAGAAGGGCTGAAACAGTTCTTCTTAGGGCCTCTCTGGTTGTGGCTGAACACTCAGGTTCAGGCTTATAAGACAAAGGATGGCATGCTGTGGCCTTAGGAGATCTTTGCTTGTCTCAGCAGCATTCTTGGTCATCCATGGTTAACTAACATGCTGCCCCAGTCTGCACTACTGAGTGTATCAGTGCTCATCTTTGGGTGGGAGCAGGGAAATTAGGTGGGAGTGGAGCAGGGTCACCCGACAGCACCATCCCTCCAGGGTTACAGTTTAAGCTCAAGTTGAACTAAAGGGCAAATCGTTTTTCTTCACCACTGGTCTTCTAAGAGCAAGGAACAGGGATTCTCACTGGTATGCTGTTGCATATTTAAACTGCTGAGCAAATCCAGCCTCCCCATCAGAAATAAGGTTACAGTTCATTGCTCTGCAACCCCTGGAGCTCTTCTCTTCACACTGCAATTGCTAAGAACATATTACTTGACTGCTGTATTTCTCTAACCCAAACATGTTCTCGTAGCAGGTCACTACATGTAGTTAATGAACACTGCATGTACAACTGCTGTGACTCTGCCCTACCACTTGGCTATAGACCCTGAACCTGTCTCATGTGGCTTGGACCTGACTGGTAGCAGCAAGATCACGCTGACTGCTCAAGTATGAAAACAGAAGCTTCACATCCATACCATTTTCTTCAGCAATCTTTCTTCTCTGTTTCAGAAGGCCAGATACTGGTGGAGAGGAAATATTTTTCAGTGGCCAACAAAGCTGGTCCTATAGGCTCTCAGCACAGCCAGAGGAGCTGGGTTGGGAGTCAGGTCCATCAGCAACCCCAGGCACAGCCAGGGGATGAACTGGGACATGGGCCCAACCACAGAGCCCAGTCTGGAGCAGAAGGGGCTGGAGACAGGGGACCCAGGCCTTTAAGCGGGCTCCTGGACCACAAAAGGGGCAGGTGAGGCTATGCAGGGCAGTGAAGACACTTTAGTGTCCCTAATATACTGCAACTGAAATTAACAGCAGGGTTTTACCTCAAAACAGTCATGTAATGCTGTTGAGGGAGCTTAGGGCAGGATTTAGTGCTGGTTAGAAAGTTATTTTTGGAAACCCTGTACAGACAGTAAAGGTGTGGGTGCAAAAGTACATAGTCACACACTTTCTTCCACTGAAGCAGAAGCTGGGCTGAGTGGCTGCCAAGAGTGATTTGTACGTGATGACAGAGCAAGCAAAGCAAGGTCTAACACCCAGCCTGGGGAGTTTCCGTGCCCACATGGCTCATTGCATCCCAGTAACTCCACAGCTCTGCTCAGCCTTCCCCTCTCTTCCTAAGCCATTCCCAGCTGGTCCTTACCTCAAAACCTTCTCAGCCATTCATTTCAACTTCTTCACATCTAGTCTTCTCAGACAGTCTTTACATCTTTGCACCCTGTGTTGGTCTGCCATCCATCTGTCTGCCTGTGGACTTCAGAGTACACCATGGAACATGGCTGTTGGAATGCTGCTCTTTAAACCTCCTACCAGCCTAACTGCTGCCTCCTACCCCTTCCTCCATCAGCCATAACCATGCAGATGACAATCACTTCAGCATTTCTCTGGAGACTGCCCAGATTTCATCTGCCTGTTCTTGACATGGGCTTTGTAGAGCCCAGTGCTTCTTTCTGTGGATTTAGATTCTGCATTGAAGCCAACTAACTGTGCTTTCTGGGCTATGGGAGAAAGAGTAAAACCTGTCATCGTAAGATTATCTTTCCAAGGGAGCACTTTTCATCTTTCCTGTGCTCTCATTGATTTTTCACAGTTCTTTAAAGCTGAGAAGAGCTGCAGGTGCTCTCCTGTCAGAAAACTCAGCCTATTGAAAGGAGGCCAAGCTGCTGCTCCTCACTGGTCTTTAATTGGGTTAGGAAGGGCTGCTTTATCCCAGCTGTGTGCTGGGGCCCTGCTGGGATTGGTAGCTCCTATCTATGAGAGGTGCAGCTCGGTGTAAAGAATCAGAGGGGAAAGAGGGTGTTGGGGATATTTAGTCAAATTATATGTAAGATTAGACAGGTGATATATAAAAGAAAGTGCCACCACAACAAAGTCAAGTTCCATAAAGTCACAGTGACTGCTTCAAATTACATTCTTATCCTGTAGTTTTTTTGTCATCTGGAGCCTCCAAGCAAACACTCAGTGCATTAGACCATGATTACACCATGTACTCACATGTTTCAATGAGGTATTTCAGCACTAGTCACAGTCACAGAGAGGGGAGGTGTAGGTCACATGTGAGGAGGACATTCCTTACTCAGAGGACAGTGAGACCCTAGCACAGCTGCCCAGAGAAGTTGTGGTGCCCCATTCCTGGAGGTGCTCCAGGCCAGGCTGGATGGGACCCTGAACAGCCTGAGCTGGAGGGAGGGACACAAATTCAGGTGAGATTTTTCTGCTTCTCTCTGCAACACCAATAAATGGGAGAAGACACCAGTGAAAAGGTAGACAGGCTTTTAATGGCATGATCAAGAATCCCCCCGTTAATAACAAATCTAATGACAACCGTGTCTGGTATGAACAAGAAATGGCATCATCGTATATTCTTTTTAAGACGTGATCTGAAGGTATGAGCAATGCCAGGTGGATCTGTACACAGACGGGGCCTCTGTGATGCATGCCAGATTCGATGGCCAAGAAATTTGCCATGCAGTTGAACCGGATTGTGGTTCCTGGTCGGAGTTGTACATTCTGTTTGCAGTGTGTAAACATTCTCGAGCTGCTTTCCTAAAGAATGCAAAGGAGATATGTAGAGAGATTCAGCCTTGGGACCCAGTCGCGTTCCCAGACAGTACCAAGGAGCAAGAGTCCTGTCTCCGGGCCAAAAGGCTTTGTTGGACTGTGTTGGAGGTGAAGGAAATCAACGTCGGTGCGCCAGCTGTGATGTCTGAGTGTAGAGTCCCATGCTAATGTGTTAAAAGGAGATTTACAAAATTATCTGCGTTTTCAGCTCCAATTCCTGTCCGGAGAAGCAGCAGCCCAGGTTGCACAGGACAGCAGTGTCCCTGACACCGGTTCTCATGCATGGGCTGGTTTAAAATGCGGACTCCTTGCCTAACTCCATGTTCTGCAGAGCTCTTCACACCACCTGCAGATGCCAGTCTGGGAGCCTCTGCCTTGGCAGCCATGTCCCCGAGTGCCACCAGCCCCTGCCTCCTCCTTGCAGCTGGGCAGAGGTGAGGCAAGCTGAAATCTCAGCCCTTCTGCTCATTCTGGTTCAGGAGCTAAAGGGAGGATGTGCTCACACCTCGGTCCCTGCCAGGAACCCAGTGGATCTGCTGTGGTAGCGCCCTTCCTCCTTTTAGCACAAAAGGCATCAATGTCTGCCTTAAACCTGCTCTGCAGACATTCGCAGCTCCAGAAATAGAAGGGGAAATGCTCCTCATATCCCAGAGCAGCAGCCTGCAAAGGGGCCAGATATTCCTTGAGTTGTGCAGACATCCAGGAGGGCTACGAAGACCCAGACGGGGAGGGACTGATCTGCAGGGGTCAGAGTGACTGCAGACCAGGTTTAGTAGAGGAGGGAAGTTACAAATGAGAGGATGGGAGAGCTGTAGTGTGCAAATTGCTGCCATTTCGTAGTGTCCTGGCTATGCCTGGGACCATGGATCAGTGCAGCCTGCAACCAGGGCTATTTTCTAGCCTCACAAAGATGCAAGATCCAAAGCTCATGGAGACGCTGTCAACTTATCTGAATGTCAGCAGGCTCTGCTTTCCTGCCCTTCAGTGGTCAGCACAGTCCCAACCCTTCAGTGGTCAGCAAGAGGCTGAGGGAGAGCAAAAAGCCATTTGGGGTTCTGCAAAGGACCCTGGAGTCAACAAGCAGGGAGCACATGGGCACCCACGCTGCTGTTGGTGACACAGCACACAGAAGAGGGAAAGACCTGAGCAGGAACCCAAGCTCTTCCCTTGTGTGCAGCTGCTGGGAAACAGACGTGATCACAGGTGCCCAGGTGGTTTCCACATGCTTTGTGAATGCAGCAGATCAAACCTGGGCACATTACAGTTAAGCCAGAAGAAGCTCGTTGGAAACCAAACTCATCAGATCCACAAAGGGACTTTTATTGTGTTTGCAAGATTCATTTGACTGCAGTTTGTGGATGTGTGGATCAAGGCCTCGGGTGGACATCCGTGTCTTTGCACGTGGGATAGTGGTGGGATCATGCCATGAGACAGAAAACTGTACAGGGAAGAAAGAAGTGTGCTAAGGGGCCATCGAGCTACTGCTGGAGCTGCTCAGGCTGTAAGCAGATGTGGAGCCATCTTATTACAGAGATTTACACTGAGAAAATAGCTCTGTGTTGGAAAGGAGTAACACCAAAGACATTGTTACCCCAAGTAAACCACGCTTGTGTTAATGAAGGGCCACCACTCAGTCTCCAGACCCAGACCAATGCCACACAAAGATGGTTATGACAGCTCGGATGGCCATCCACACCACTGTGCGTTGGCCCCTGGTGAGCAGAGCCTCACAGCTCCCGTGTGCTTCAGTGGTGGTACCCTGCTCCTCCATTCTGCACTGACAGCACAGGGACAGCCCTGCACACAGCGGGGATACACAGTGCCTCTCTGAAGGCTGCAGGGTCCTTTTCAACCTTTAGCCACAATATATAATGGGCACTACTTATATTATATTCTTATAATTTTTAATATATATATATATATATAGTAATACTCTCTACTTAGAAAGGACAAGCCAAGTGTCCTGCCTCTTGCAAACCCCAAGCACAACCCAGAAATGTCTGTGACTGAAACACTTTTTGCACCAAGACAAGCCAGTGTCCGTGCGCCAACCAAAGCCAGCTTAGTGTCTCCAGCCACGTGTCTGTGCCCTCCCCTGACACTCTCTTGACTGTCCCCAGTGCTCTTTTTGCTCATACAATCCACTGTCATACTAGCTCAGTGCTAAGAACTGTACTTCAGACCCATCCGTTGCCACATCATCTTGTATGAGCCATCTGCCCTAGCAGAACAACCCCTCAAACATGATCTGCTGCGTTTGACCTGACTATGGCAGGTGCCCTCCTGGTCTGTGGGGCAGAGAACAGGATGAGAGACCCACAGTTCCCAGCCCCTTTTGTAGGGCTCTTTTCACAGGAAATATCATTGCCAGTCCACCTGTTCACCAGAAAATCCTCCTCTCTAGAAAACCAAGCAGCCTCAAGTGACAGCAGTTCCTGAGGTCATGCTCACCTCTGAAGGACAGATCAGAGTGAACAGACCCAGAGCAGCTTTTGCATGGCAGAAGCTTTTCTGAGTGCCCCTGCCAACACCTGGAACAGGAAGCAAGAGTCGTGGTTTGGGCTGGGGTACAGTTAGCTCCCTTTGTAGTGGCTGGTGTGGTGTTGTGTTTGGATATGGTTGAGAATAATGTTGATAACATACTGACATTTAGTGGCTGCTGAGCAGTGCTTGCATGAAGCCTGATTCTTTGCACTGCCAAATTTAGCAAATGAGCAAATTATTTTAATCACTTGACTGAAAGAACCTAGCACTGACGCTCCTGTAAAAAATAATCTCAGTAAAAAATAATACAGTGAAGGACCGTAAGAGGCAATCTGAAGCATTTTACCTGTAACATCACAGCATCACTTGCCACTGGGAAAGGGAACAGGTCTGGATCTCCAAGCCTGTGGGACACAAGGGGACAGCCAGGCCATGCAGGAACAACCTTGAGAGCCTGTCAGTGGCAGCAGCCAGCAGCTCCTGCTCTGGCTTTCAACCCTACTGCAGCCAGCCAGCTCTCAATGCCATTGGACCTGATGACTCAGGATAGACAGTGTATGACAGTACTACAGATCCAGCTGCAGCATCAGCCCAACCCTATCACACAACATGGAGACAGGCTGCTGTCTCCCGTGCTGGAAAGCATTCACTGCATTCTTCTTTCAGCTTTTTCTTGATATGGTACAGCTGGGCCATGGACAGTTCTAATTTAAACTTTCTTTTGAACAAATACAATAATTGTGCTTCACTGCCCTCCCATGACAAAATGGGTTTGCTAATTCTGTAAATAGCCCTGTAGCACTCGTTTCCTGCTCCTTCAATGCCTTTTTGGCATGTGCTTGTAAGACCTGGATAGAGTATCTGGCTTCACTGTCAAAATCTTATTATCTAAGCACTCTAAAATAAATAGTCTGCTGACAAATTAATAGGAGTGCCATTACCATTTATATTTCCAGAAAGAATCTGTGTATTTGGGTTCATTTTGTTTTCTAATTTCAAAACTCTCAGGACATATTTAGGCTGCAGTTGGACCAGACTCCAAACTCACATGACGTCATCATGCCCGTAGAAGAAGTGGTAGAATTTACTATCTACTCTTTCTTCCACTTTTGGCAAAAGCATTTGTGTGACCAAATGCTGAACCTGATGGATGAACAGATGAAAACTAACCCAGCAAACCAGAGCACTTGTCACACTGGATCTCTACCTCCAGACACCTCACTGAACAGCTGCCCTAGATAAGGGAGGGGACTGCAACTTGGAGGGATCACTGCCATGATTGGCTAAGTCATCTCAGTCCCTCAAACCACAGCCTGAGTGTGGAATTCCCAGTGATCCTCTGCAAATATGAGAGCTGGGATTTGTTCTCGGATGAGAAGCTCTGCTTCTTACTTTACAAGGGTGAATGACTTTTAAGGAAAACACCAAACGTTTTGAACTATATGAAATAAGTTCCTAGCATTGTCAACACTGGAACTGTTGTGTAGAAAGGTAATTCCCATCACTTGTTTCCAGACATTTCCCTGTTCTGATGTCCCAGGAGTATCCTGTTCTCCCTGCCACTCTGTCACAGCTCTCATGATCCATGCATGTTCCTGTAGAGCCACTCTGAAACAGAACCTTGCGATTCCTTGGACTGGATGACCATGAATGTGACTGTAAATACATTCAAATGAGTCAGTTATTACCATAGGCTTCTTCCATCAAGCTTTTTTGTCTGCAAATCTTTTCTGAAGCTGCTAGTTACAGCTGCAGGAGTGGGTGGGCAGAGCAGCCATTGTTTTGTTCTGCCTTATGCAAAACTTCTTTTAGCTGTGACAATGGCATGAAGCCCCAAGGATTTGGGTCTATATTGTTTCCCCCTGTGCAATGCAGGGAAGAATTTGTGACCATTTCAAGATCTTATCAGGCTCTGGCAGTTATCAGTCCTCCTGGCTTGAATTTTCAAACCACCCTAATTAGTTGGGAGCTAAAAAGTTGGCGTGCTAAGTGAGAGCTAAGCTTACGTTCTGGTAATATTATTTAAGAGCACAGCCCTTGCTTTTGTGTTCACATTGTTGGTTGTTAGGCAATGTGTGGAAGAGCTGAGCACGAGAAGGAAATAAACCTGATATCCCGATGAGAAATGCACAGGATACCCACAGCGTACCAGCAAAACTCTCCTTGCAAAGCAGCAGCTTTAGAGTATACTACAGGATAATTACTTTCCGCCCTGCTGTGTAAGGGAACCTTCAACGACAGTGCCAAAATTCACAAACACCAAGAGCGTGACAATAAAGCACAAGGAATTTAGGTGCAGGGGGCACCCGAGCTGAAGGCATCCAGTGGCTATTCACATCTTCAGGATGGAGGTGTGTTTGGGTGGCCTACAGAACCGTGGCACCAACCACACTCAGGCTGAGAGGAACCACCCATGTCAGAAGATGTGGTCTCCACAGGTCACAGTTCGGTATCTGAGACAGAAGTGGCTGCAGAGTGCTCCCTTCCACATCACATGCTAGTGCTCTGGATTTCCCAGCAAGCTGCCCATACATCCCTACTTTCAACTCAATACCTGCCCCACAGGCAGCTGCTGAAACAGCTCTGCAGGACACCCTGGAGCAGGCAGGAGCATCTACACGAGCTGCCTGTGCCCCACTCCTGCCTGCAGAGGCCCTTGTGGAAAAAGGAGAGCAAAGCTCCTCCAGCCCTCTCCTGCCCTTCTCTCAGCACGTGACAACACACCCATCACTCTGAGGTGGGCTGGTGACAAGCTCTCACTAACACAAGTTGCAGGAGAGGAGCCAACATTCGGCCGTTGGCAGCCAGGGCTGGTGTTTGCCCAACAAAGAGAGAGCAAGGACAGGACAGGAGCCTTCCTCCCCAGCAGGCTCTCATCACTTCCACTCCTCTTTCCAAAGCCAGGGTCAGTATTGGCGACAGGTATCGCCAACAGAGAGAGGGGATTGCCTGTGGAGTAGGGGGGTCAGGCACTAGGCAGGCTGCCAGGGTCGCTGTGCATTAGCAAGCGTGAGCTGAGGACTGGATGTTTCCCTCGAAGAAGGCTCCGTGGCTCAGAGGCTCTCAGGCCTGTGGGAGCTGATCGCAACTGTGTGGGGTGAGAGTGAGTGAAGCATTGAAGTACAGCTACTGCTATACACTCGTGGTTCCGGCATGGAAGGCTGTGCTGCAGCATCTCAAGTGTATACTATATGCAGAAGTTACCCAGTCTGTTGGGTTGGCAGAAGATCATTATCTGGCAGCTGCCTTACTTTCCAGGGACACCTGCTTTCCTTTGGTTGCTGGACTCTGAGTCTGGGTTTTTCCTCTTTGCCGTTTTTTGGCCGTGCCAGGAGAGGACAGGGAGTCTCCTGTTGGCCCCGGGGCCTGAGCCTGGGGCTGAGGTCGAGAGGAAGGTGGAACTCGCTGGAGAGCAGTCCCTGGCTTATGCTGTCTGCAGGGAGAAGGGCTTTCCCTCCGAGGCAGCAACTGGCTTCTTGGGGAAGCACTGGGGGTTTTGGAAGGAAGGACAGGGCTCCGAGGGGATGTGTAGCTGGACCTTTGCGTGCTGCTCCGTGGAGGAAGAGATGTGGAACTCGGTGAAGGAGGAAGCCGGCTTTGTATCTGCATTGTTCGGTAGTCATTTGGGACATTTCCAGCTGGTCTCTGTGCCTGCAACCTACAGGGAAAGAAAAGAGGACAGATGAAGAGGAATTACTGCAGGGGACTCTGGGCTGCTGGCAGCTTTGGCATCAGTGCTGCTGGGACAATTACAAGGAATCTCCAGCATCACAGTGACAGGAGTTATGCCTTGAATAAGCTGGAGTAGCTGGAGTAACCTCAGCGTCATCCCATAACAGTGCTGTTAAACAGTGTGTTCCCTGATTCACCAGTACCCTCTGGGACAACATTCAGACATGGTTTAGCAGGGCACACTCCTTTGGAATCTTCTTAACATGCAGTGTGAAGGCAGCAATCTCTTTTAAGGTAGGTAACACAGTCCGAGTATGAGAGCATCACTTAGGCTCTGAATAACTTTGCTGGAAGATAAACCAGCTCACAGGGATCACGGCCTTCACCTGAATCTGAAAAAGTACAGGGATATGTAAGGAATTTAGACTGTGTGGAAGTGGATCAAACTCCTCCAGATCACTGTCACTGCCTACATGTATGCACATCTCTCTCTCCAGTTCTTCTGCTGATGCAGTCACAACTTGTGATATCTCAGCCCTTGCAGGCCTAATTGCAATTGCTAGGCCCTTTAAAGTCAAGGTTTTGGTGAACATGCTGCTGAATTGAGTGCCCAGGGATCTGCAATTAGCAGTATCAAACCAAATGAAAGAGATCATGGAAGAGAAGAAGGTCTCAATGCCAGAGCACATGAAAAAGGGTTAGCCTTTTGACCAGACTGAGCCACAAAGCACAAAAGAGGTGGGAATTTTATACACAAGTGATCTGAAGTGAATATAAGAAAGGGGAATGGATCACACATTCAAGTCAAGCAAAGAGTAAAGGAGTGCAAGGTGAGCACAGCTTCCACTGCGATTTCTTAGCAGGTCCAACATTTTGCACTGCTCAGCGTTTTGGGCTTACCTGTAGGCAACAGCTGCATCCTGTGGGGAGCTGGATTGCACTGCCATCACAACGGCTGCGGAGCTCTCAGACTTCATAGTCTCTAGCGGTGTTTTCACCGGTGTGATGGGCCGAGGAATTCTGCTCTTTGTGCTTATGAGTTTCTCTTCTCTCCCCAGGAGGGCAGCTTTCTTCCCTGCCTTTCTTGGGATGGAGTCATCAGAGTCATGGGTGTCCTCCTCAGAACCAGTGGCTGACAGGGTTTCTGAGGCTCGCCGCCTCTCGTCACTGGAGGATGCTGAGGAGGAGGCCCCGGAAGCCAGCCTAAGGAGGCAGCTTTGTCTCTTCTCCATCACTAAACGAGCCAGATCAGGTTGCTTTGCCCTCTTATAAAGCCTCTCTTTGGCTGAGAGTGAAGTTGAAAGATCTGAGCCAGTGTCCTCCTCAGAGAATAAAATGGGGATCCGACTTCTATACCTGGAGCCCAGAGGTCTTCTGGGGCCCTGCTGTGGAGCATCAGGGAGGGTCTCTGCTGGCTTCAGGTGTTCTGCTACTGATGCTGGCTTCTCCAGGTCAGGCTCTCTTGTGACCACCTTGGCAGACTCTTCCAAATCCAGTGAGACTGCCACATTGTCAGAGGACTCTGCCTTATCCTCAGGAGGCTTTGCTACATTGGGGACCGACAGCTGCTCCCCCACTGTTTCTGAGGTGGTTTCGATGGGATTAGCAGAAAGTGCACAGCTCTCTGTCTCTGCCCCTTCTAATCCCGAATGGATGCTTCCATTCTCTACCAACACCAGGTTATCTTCCAGTTCCTCTTCAATAATGACCTCTTCAAACTGTCCCGGAGGGCAGTATTCCTCATGCCTCATCAGCTGGCCGCTGGAAGACATGACATTTAGGTGGGTCTTTTCTGCTATATGAACAAATGTGCGCTCAACTTTGGTAAATGGGGAGGAAGCTGTAGCCACTGCCACGGGAGGCTTTGGTTCAGATTTAAGGACTGAGGACAAGGTCCCTGGCTCAGACACATCTAGTTGGCTACCCATTGGCTGCGGCCGTTCGCTCTGAGGTGTCAGTGCAGCAAGAGTCCCCAGATCAACTTCTGGAGGCAAGTCTGTGGTCACTGGAGATTTTTTCAGATCACCTGGTGAAAACAGCACCAGTGTTTTTGAGCCTTCCTCCAATTCCAAGTCCCCATCAGCCATGGAAGCTCGACCCTTGGATCCCTTCTGGTCATCAGCCAGGAGAGTGGATGGTGCGCACTCCTGGCTGCGCTCTGTGCTTTTTTGACTCAAATCACTGCTGGAACCACTGTGCATGTCAATTTCATCCCCTTCCTCCTCCACATCCTCTTCATCTTCTTCCTCGTCTTCATCTTCTTCCTCGTCTTCTTCCTCCTCCTCTTTGCCATTCATTTCCAGGTAAGGTTCCAGGGGTTTGCAAGGAGCAGTCAAGACAACATTTGAGAAATCAACTCTCTTTATCCGCTGGGATAACTTAGCCTTTTCCCAGTAGTCTAACACGTCTTTTCTGAAGTCTTGATAAGGCAAACTTAAAGGCACCGCCTTGGGCAGACCATTCATTTCAAATGACTTCAGTGTATATGCCTGCCAGAAGACAAATGGGACAAAAGGAGAAGGTTAGTATTCAGACACAGCACTGACAAAGAAGTCATTGGCATCAATGACAGTGGGAAACATTGGTGGAAAAAATCCAAACCATCATGATTCCAAAATACACACTGGAGTGGTGATCACTCAACCATTAGATTAGTACCAACCTTAGAAAAAAGAGAATCATGAAGACACACATCAACAAAGGCAAAAATCTTGCTGAAGGAGTTTCTTTGTTAGCATTTATTAATCTGTACTTGAAAGAATTCCTTTTAGCAAGCAGTTCTTGAGGATTTTTTTTTCATTTCTCCCAGTCTTCTACAGTATTACCTATTTATTTCAGTACCTGTATATTTATATATTCATACCTTCCTTACTAGAATCATTCAGAAACTCTCTGTGGACCCTTGTAGGCCCCTTCTGAGGTAGACAATTTCCTAATCACTTCAGAGTACCATCCAACTTTGTCCCACAGCAAAACCCTTTATAGCTCTTCAGTGCTCCCTTGCTGTATTATTCATCACTCTCTTCTGCTTTGATTTTATTTCCAGCAACTTCTAATTCTGTTTTCTACAGTCTTCTGCTTCCACTGGAATGATCAGCAAGTCATGAATGCTGATATATACAGTATCGCTATTAGACTCTGATGTATCCAATCATTAAAAGCAGGGGAAGGATGGAACTGTTGGTTGAGACAGTTTCTCAAGCTGCAGCCTGTTGAACTGAGGCTGCCCATAAGGCTACAAGGAGCAGTCTGTGAAATGATTGAAAATCAGCAGAAAAGCCAGCAGAAAAGCAGTGCTTCACACACACACACACACACACTTGACTGAACAGGCAAGAAGAGGCAAAATAAATAGGAAATGCCTATCAAAGTGTAGTTCTATCAGCAATTGGTTGTAAGTGAAAACCACAGGAGTAACACTGCAGAACAGATTTTTTATAAGATACTTATGTCACCATTCAGGTAAGAGGGCTGGGAAACAGAAGCCACTCCATGAACTCAAGCAGACAATAACAGAACGCATTACATTTGGAAAGTCCTAACTACAAACAGGAAGGTTGCAAACATCTGCTTTTTCAAGTGGCAGAATCAGAGGATGTTTACACTGTGCAGCTGAGCAAGCACCCATTTAACTATGTGGGATACACAGCTGCCAGCAGGTAGCACATTCAGCTATGGGCAGAGGTGTGTGAAAGATATAAGATCCTTATGCTCACATGCAACAGGGACATTTCAAATAGAATCGTGGGTAGCTCTGAGCAATTACACATGGTGGTAGGTTGTTTTCCAGAGATGAACATGGCACTCATTCTTCATTATTGCTGAGTTCAATTGCGTTTTGGTTGTTTGGTCCCAGTGAAACTTATTCCTCATTTCTCCTTTCCTATTGACAAAGTCTGCCTGCTACTGTCTTCATATTTCTTTCTGTCTTAAAAATTAAAATACAGGCTGGCTCCAACAAGACTTTGGCATCCAAAGTTTATTCTCATCTCTTCCTAAAGCAGGAGCCTGGCCCTGAGGGTGGCCTTGTAACAGCCAGACTTGGACTTTCACTGTGAAGTGCTACCTCTTGTATCAGGCTGACAGATGCAAAGCTTTGACTGTTTAGATGGACCTACTACCTTTTTCAAAGAAAATTAACCACTTGGCTTCCTCCCTCTTTTCCTCTAAAAAACCTTCTGGAACACAGTCCTGCTGGCTGATTTGGTCTTCCCAAGAAATACATGCATACTAGAAATCTCCTCATTCCTGGAGTCCTGATCAAGTGGGCATACTTCCCCAGCTTTGGGACTGGCTCTTAATATAGCAGCCCTGCTCAACGTCTTGCCTTGCACAGGTCACTCACTGCTCTATCTCACCCTGCTGTGGTTGATGGTACAGTTACAGGATCACTGGTTTCTCTTTGCATATGTAAAACTTCAAATGTCCTCTCTTGGGAGTTTTTGACATCTCATCTGCTTTCTCGTCAAGGGGAACTGAATCCAGTCCTGCAGCACACATCCTGTATAGGCCAGAGATGCTCTGCAGTCCATTCTGCCACCAAGCTCCTCTGTTGGCCAGAACGGTCAGGCATGAGACCTTTGCTACTGGTGCAGCCTGGCATCTTGTCTGGTGGCCCAGTGATCTCTGTGGCTCATCACACACCTCTGTCCCCTTCTAGCTATCATTTCTTACCAATAAAAGATGTCCTGTACTCTACTTTTTCAATCTCAAGTCATCCTAAGAGCTTTTGAGATTCATCTCATCCTTTGCTTGTAGCTATTATCTCAGCAGCTCTGCAGGAGCATTAGCATATCTAATGTGTGCAGTGCACACAGTTGGTGTACTGTTTTATGCAATTCTTCTTTCTTCAACTGTTCTTTCTTTTGCAAGACAGCAGGGTTGGGTTTTTTGAGATGATTGTTTTAGGCATATATATACATATAATATATACATGTATTTGTTTCACTGCTAAGCAGTAAGGTATAACAGTGATATTGCTATAATATAAATTACAGTTCTCTCTTCTGCTCTGGTTATCTTTTGCTATTGGTGAGTCATGCTGCAGATACTAACCTCCACCTCTGCCTGGAGAAATTTCTTGTCGTATTTAGCATGTGGATTGTCTTTCTGCCATTTCAGTTTCTCTGTCTATTTCTATTTCCCTGCCCAGATATTGCCATGATGATACAGAGATTGTTTGGCTTCTACCTACCTCTGGGAGACTTGTGCTGTTCAACCTATGGCATGCCCTACCTCAAGACTGGCAGAACTCATACCTCAAAGAAGCCTGAGACTGTGGTTATTTTGCCACTGCAAGCTCATCATGGAGCAAATCCAAAGAGTGTAAATACGCCAAAAATGAAAGACAAAAGTTATGCACAAATGTAAGTAAAAGAAATTTTGCTGAGATGAGCCTTGGGTCAAATATTAGTTTAACACATATTTTCTTACCTTAACTACAATCATCATTTGAAGCTGTTAAGAAGGAAGACAGTCCTAAGGCATCAGTCTGAGATTGTCTTCACTGTTGAATTGACGTGATCAGTAGCTATCTACCAATGGCCATGCTGTTGAGCATGCTGCTCCTACTCTGAAGCCCTCAAAGTGTCCTCTGTTACATACCACGTGTCTTTTGTACTACAGCAGGCTCACTTTCTCTAGCACTGTTCCTCAGAGGCTGGAGAAGAATTTCTCTGCTCTGCTGTACCAATATCTTCTATGTGGGAAGACAGTGGAAGATCAGGAATAGAGAGGCTTACTCATATTGCATACAGCACACTGCATATGCACTGCTAGCTGCAGGGAAATGCCCAGTGTTAAAGCTGAGAGCCATGTAAAAAACTCTTTCTGCTGGTTTTGTAGATGTTAAATTGTACACGCTTAAGCCTTGCCAGTTCAGATGCTGGTTAATATCAAGCCAGAGCTCTAAAAACATCAAAATGGGACTATATGCAACCTGTTCTGTAATATGACCGGATGTAAAACAGTGAAATTGGTTCTATCCTACACTTACACAAATGCAACTCACAATGTGGCCTTCCCAAAGTTCATGAAAACCATCCCCAACAATCATGAGACCTTGTTTTTCTTCCCAGATCCAACCTCACTGCAAGTTTTTAGTGATCACATTAGCAAATGACCATTAATTCTACCAGAGCTCCTCTACCTCCCAGCCCTGTGTTCCCATGTATCTATCCAAGGATGAGCAGGGGACACCCTCCCATAGCTGGGAAGCACAGGGAGTAGAAAAACAAAGCAAGAAAGCAAACAAAAAACCCAGCCATCACCAAGGTGCTGCCTTTGATTCTTTAATAAGGTTTTGGTAGTATACAAGCTCTTTTTTTTCCGATTGTCTGGATTAACATACATGGATTTAAAAAAGGCACAAAATCCATTGCACAGCTTTCTGTTTTGTTTGTTTTTTGATGTCATTGCCTGTTCGTTGTGGTTTCAAGTGTAGGATTTTACAGTACTCTGCAGCATTTACAGCATGGTCTACATACAGGTAATCAATGCATGCTTTTATACAGGAGACAGAATTCAAATTCTCTCTCAGTATGTCTATATACACAATAATACAGTGCTTTTCTTCTGAAAAAAGCTTTAAATTGGTCTTGCATGCTCGGTGTGCCAGAAGAATTAGTGCAAGCATATATTACAGTGTTATTGCAGTACAAAAAGGGGTTGACATTAGGCTCTAAAGGGATTAAATACAGAAAGAATAAAAAGACTCAGGGAAAACAAGCTTTGGATCCCTTTAGTCAACTACATCCTTCACTTGATCTCTACTCAGTACTACCTTTAAAGCTACAGCAGCTGCTTCCTCTCCATCTCCCTGCTGCCCTCCCCCTGAGATGAGCTTCCACAGCTTCTTCACACCTTCTCCCTAGCAGTTGGTGAGGGCTTCTGGCAGCTCGAGGAAGCCCTTTCTGCAGGGCTCCTGATGCTGGAGACCAGCACAAAGAGGACTTTCCTGAGATCCACTGCTTTGAGCAAACTCAAGTCCCAGCAGGTGAAGTTTCTCAAACAAACCAGGAAGTACAACGGGTTACCTACAGATTTTGCCTACTCTCAAGAGAAATGACTACAGAAACCCACATTCACCTCCTAACTGAAAATCAACGGTTAAATGTGGTTTGGACTCTCTCCTGCTTAGCAGCAACAGAAGTCTAACAAGGTAATGCAAAGGAAGGATATGCTGGTCCCTGAGATTCTTCATGCGAGCTGAGAAGTCCAAGAAGCAGAAATCAAATTCCCAACATGACGTCAACTGTTCCGTTGGGAATGGGAAGAGGCCTTAGTCCTGAGAGATGCAAATGGCACACAGACAGCAACAGCTATAGTCCAATCTTCCCTTTAACAGCTTTGATTTGGATACTATCAGGAACGTAGCATATCCTGGAAGTGACATTATCCTCTGCCAATACAGTCTAAACTTGTTTGGGACTGAGAGACCTGATGGGATATACAATAATGAGTGGAAAAACTAGAATCTGAGTTTCTGAAG